ATCAAGATATTAACATTGGTAAATGCTATTCGTTAATCAAATGTAAATTTTTCTGGACTTCCTCAGATTTTTGTTTTGGTTTGGTTTGGTTTTATGAGACAGGGTTTCTCTGTGGCTTTGGAGGCTGTCCTGGAACTAGCTCTTGTAGACCAGGCTGGTCTCAAACTCACAGAGATCTGCCTGCCTCTGCCTCCCGAGTGCTGGGATTAAAGGTGTGCGCCACCAACGCTTGGCTTTCCTCTAACAACCTTGTCTCCTTTTCCAAGATCCAATCCAGAATCCAATCTTTCATCTGCCACAGTCTCTGGCACCACCTTAGCTTCGCCTCACCTTCCCAGCGGGGTCTCTTCTGAAGGGGACCAGGAAGCCATTTTGTTGGATGCCCTTGATTTTCCTAATGTCTTAGAATTACTTGGGTCACACATTTAACAAGAGCACCACAGAGGTGACGTGTCCCTCAGTGCACACGGTAAAGGACAAACATGGTCATCACTGCTTGTATGCAGCACCTGGGATGTAGCACCTGGAGTTTCTTGTGATTGTTTTTCTGTATGTAAACAGTATTGTTTTCATTGTTATCTTGTGATTGTTTTTCTGTATGTAAACAGTGTTGTTTTCATTGTTATCTTGTGATTGTTTTTCTGTATGTAAACAGTGTTGTTTTCATTGTTATCCAAATTAGTAATCAACAATTTGGAGATTCTTGTTAAAATTAGACAAATACTGTTTTCCCCCAGACTTTCGCCTACTGATTTGACATCCATCTTTACGTGCCAGTCAGAGTCTTGCTCTCCTACAGGAGTGCTGCGTTGATGGGGTGAAGATTTTCTGTTGCATTTTAATTCTTTTCCTTAGTGAAGTATTTGACCAATTTTTTTTTTTTCCTGTGGAATGAGGAACAGAATCTAGAGCCTGGAGTATTGGTAGGCAAGCTCTGTTTCTAGCACTGAGCTACAACGCCTTGATGGGAGATAACTATGGCCAATGACCCTCTGAGACTCCGATACCCCATGCCCATTTGAATACTCCTCTGTGCCAAGCTCCACCCCTAAGACCAATTAGACTTTGTTTTCTGCTTGAGTTCGCACTGGCTTATGTTGTGATGGCTGTGGGATGCATCCAGCAAAGATATCTACAAATACAAATCTCACCCATGTTGTCCTTTCTCTTTTGTGTCTGTGGCTTTCTGTCCCTCTCTGGTGCCTCTGAATAGCTGTTTTGTTATGTCTTATCTATATTTTTGCAGTTATTACATGAAGACCCATTAGTAGGATATGTGCTTCTCATATATATATATATATATATATATATGTCAGGCCTGCCTGATTGGGGTTTTAGCTTAATATTTTTATATGTAAACAACTTAGAATGGTTGATAGTTAACAGCCTTTTAAAGCTCTTTTAAATTTTTATGGAACATGTTTAATCCGATTAATATTATCAATAAAGTCTGACAATAGGTAAAGCACGGTCTTTGTCTTGCATATTTTGCAAAGCACCCGGAGATGTTAAGATGAGTATAGGATCGAATTAAAAATTCAGCAGAAACTTACTAGAGTGGATCAAAATAAAGGAACTGGAACAACTGAGGGTGTAAAGGACCAGGAATACGGGCTTTTCACCAGTTACCTGGCGCTGTGTAAGAAATCAGTGCCACTTGGGCTGTGGAGATGGCCCCAACGGTACATTGCTGCTTGCCTCGCAAACATGAGGACCTTAGTTTGAGTCCCAGAGCCCATGCCAGAAAGTAACCAGATGTGATGGATAGTGCACACCTGTAATTGCAGCACTGGCGAGGCAGACATAGACACCCTGGGGCTCACTTGACCAGCCAGCCTCGCCTATGGTGAGCTCGGGGCCAGCGGAAAACCAGGGGAATGGCTCTTGAGGAATGATACGTGATTATCTTCTGGCCTACACACACACACACACACACACACACACACACAAACACGGCGGGGGCATTGAGAGGAGAGAGACAAGGACAGAGAAAAACAGAGACAGAGACAGGGGAGACATATTGCCACACACAAAAGAACCACCATTCATGCTGCTGGGTTTGCCTGGCTCCTAACTGAAATTTGTTCCTGGTTCCCCCAGTAGGCCAGCTCCTGCTGCTAGTGCTGCAGAAGAGTGAGTGTGCCAGGCCTCTAAGACAGCAGTTCTAACCCTCTCAATGCTACAACCCTTTATACAGTTCCTCGTGCTGTGGTGAGCCCCAGCCATAAAATTATTTTGTTGCTACTTCATAACTGTAATTTTGCTAGTTATGAATCATAATGTAAATATCTGATATGCAACCCTCAAGAGGGTCTTGACCCAAAGGTTAATCACTGCTGTGTTAAGACCTTGGCCTGGAATTTGCATGTCTTTGTGTTGTGTTTTGTTTTTTCAGTGCTGGGAATTGAATGAACCCGAAGCCTTGTAGATGCCCTCCCTGCATTGTGCTCTGTCATTGAGTCACATCCCAGGTCAATACAATGTCTTAGTTGCTGTATCAATCACTCAAAGCCAAAAGCAAGTCGCAAGGACAACTCATATCCAAGGGCTCAGCACTGTGGGGAAATGAATTACTGTGTATCTCTGTAATACTCCCTAGGAACAAAGAGGCATGATTGCTTCATGCAACTTGTTGACAAAAGGAGCTAGAGATCACAGGGTTTGTACTGGGCTGCGTTTGGTGACTGATCGTGTATATGTGGGTCTTACTTGGCATGTCTGTGTGTCTGAGTCAGAGGAGTGACCTATACCTGGACTTTCATGCAAGGGTCCAACCACACGTTAACAAGAACTGGAACTCAGCCCACACTTCAACCTCTAGGGAGGGAAGACTACATATCACCGTAGATACTGAGACCAGCCGCCAGAACCTAGTGGTTCAATGCTTCACCTCTGCCCCAGAACCTGAGACCCTATCCAGGAGGTGCAGGAGGTGCTGGGGGTGTGCAGGGAGAAGGCCAGGGAGCTTCCTACCTCTTCCCAAAAGCTCAAAACTGAGGGAAGTGCCAAATAAACTCTGGAGATTCCTTTGCTCTTAGTCACATGCTTTCAGCATCAGCTTTAACGGGCTGAGCAACCCCCTCCCATGGCTTAGGGAACGCACCTGATGTGTGCTAATGGTTGCATGAGTTGTTTTTCAGGATGTAGAGGCCACCCTGGTGCACTGCCCCCTGACTGTCCCCGCACAGGGGGGAGGCTGGACAACAGACAGTGGGAAAGTCCACAGTTAGAGCTCACTAACGTCACCGTGTGCCCAGCAAGTGGCCTCTCAAGAGCCACAAAACTGGACTCCATATGCACAGGCCACTCGCCACTCCTTCACTCGATCTCCCCATCTCTCCATCTCCCCATCTCCCCATCTCTCCTTCACTCCTGACCTACATCACTCCATCACCTTTCCCCAGTCTCAGACCATCCTGTTTCTTTACATCACAAATGACCCTGTTCCCTACCCTTGGGCTACAGAATTGAGATGGTCTTCTGTGTCCTCGATCTTTGCCTCACAAAATGACTCTCTGCTGTAACACCCGTGTCAGTGATTGTCACACTGTACAAATCAGGCCTGGTTTGGTAGCGACAGCTTCTGTCTGACGAGACCTGAGTTGTATTCTTTCATGGTAAGCTGGAGACCTGGGAACTAGGGTAGGGGCTTGTTAAACCCTCAGTGACCAGCCAGTGAGTGGGTCAGAACTGAGGTGACAACCGGGACTTAGGATGAAAAAGTGGGGAGAGGCAGGTGACTGTGGGACTGGGCCCATGACCTGAGGGGTCTGCCAGCCTCGGGCAGTTACTATGAGAACTGGGCTCGAGTGTAAGACAGTGTCTGCAGACAGCAGGGACCTGCTTGGCATGAAAATCCTACATTTCTGCTTCATCATTTCGCACCCACTCTGGTCCCTCCACAGAGAGGCAAGCTAGAGCTGAAAGCAGGAGAGGAATTACGAGTCACCCTTGTTTTTCCAGGGAACGATTGTGTCTTTGCTTTGGAAATCCAAGCACAACCTCCTCTCCTTCTAGTCCAAGAGCTGCCAGCAGAATGCCTGCCTTGGCATAGCAGGATCAGAACTGGTGGGTGGGAGGGGGGCGGAGGCTCAAGTTGTCTGGGGTGTTTCTGTTGACAGCCAGCAATGGAGACACGAATGGACACTTAGAAAACAAGTAGGGCAGACGGAAAGTCCCAGGATCACTGCATAACTCCCAAAGGCAAAAAATCCCAAGGTGCCTCATGCATTAGCTGCTCATTCCAGTATTCCTCGTATGCTTTCAGGGTGGTGTCTAGAGATCATGTGAACCAGTGAGCACTTAACTTAGGGGCAGACCCCACAGAAGCCTGGATTCCTCCTTACACTTGGTGTCCGCTAAGAGCTATGGAGACCCTGTGCCTTATTTCCCAAGAGCTCCGTCCTGTGGGACACTGACCCAGATACACCGCCTCTTCAGTCTGAACAAAGGCAGCTGCCCCCCACCCAGCTGGCTCCTGTAAAAGCCAGGGTGCCCATTCAGCCAAGTAGTGGGATTTTCTGTTTTTGTCAACTGGCTGTGCACATGACAGAGGTTGCAAGTACAGGGTCTGCCTTCAGAATCCAAGCCAGAGGTCTACTGGTTGCTTAATAATACCGAGAACTGCCTTGATGTAAGTCAAGGGCCCTGGCAGGCTTTCCTGTAGTTTTATTAATTTTTCATGTATCAGAGACAGAAATGATACCTCTGTCTAGCTGCACTAGTCATTTTCTGCTTCTGTTATCTGATTTCGTGCCCACTTCCCGGTCCCTCCACGGAGAGGCAAGCTAGAGCTGAGTGGGAAGCCGTGTCGCTAGCTGTCAGCTTTTCTTGCTTTGGAGTCTTTTCCAGGAGAGGCAGGATCCAGAGGCCATTCATGGGAACAGCCCCCTGACCTTCCAGCAAAGCTATGATAAGCAGGCCCCGTGTCTGGAAACTCACAGACGAGCCTGGGTGATTCTGACAGACATGAGTTAAGCAATGTGGTCCCTGGGGCCCACAGCCCAGCTCTGGATGTGAGCAGACACTGGCCTCCACAGCCACAGTCATGGCCAACAGGACCAACACCTCTGTCCCATACACCAGCTATGAATATTACCTGGATTACTTAGACCTCATTCCTGTGGACGAGAAGAAGCTGAAAGCCCACAAGCGTAAGTCAGAACCTGGGAGGGCAGCCAGGCAGAGGCTGGGCCCTAGATGAAGCGCTCGCTCTTGGCTTTGTCTTCACTTACTAATCCAGGAGACTCACCCGGCAGCAGCAATACTGCACACATAGAAATCAGTAAGGCACGGGACTCAAATTGTACCTTTAACTGACTCTAAACTAAGCAGAATGTTCCTTTTAAAGACACACGTGTGTTTATTTAGGGGTGGGGGTTCCACAGTACATCTGTGAAGGTCAGAGGACAGCTTGGGGAAGTTGTTCTCTTTCTCCACCATATGGGTCCCTAGAATGGAAATCCAGCTGTCAGGCTTGGGAGCAAGCAGTGTTAGCTCTCTGAGTTTTCTTGCTAACCCAGCATACAAATGCACATGCACACATTTATGCTTTATTTTTCCATTCATGTTACTAGTGTGTACATTAATTGTACAAGATAAGGGGCTTTGTTGTAACAGTTTCATACATGTAGACAGTGTAAATGCTTGGTGTTGTTTCTTTGAGATGGTGTCTTATTAGACAGCTTTGGCTTGGTGGGTACTCATGATATAGCACAGGCTTTGCTCAAACTCACAGAAATCCTCCTGCCTTGGTTACTCAAGTGATGGAGCTACAGGTGTGCATTACCATGGCTGGCTGTGGACTTTGATCATAGTCACCCCTAACACCCTCCTGTCATCCCCGATCCCCTTCCTCCGGAACCCCCTTTTCCCAGCTAGTTGCCCCTCCCACTTCCATGCCCTTTTGTCTCCCCCTGCGGTGCTGGGGACTGAACCAAGAGCCTCCACCGCTTTGCTACACCCCATCCTCTCTTTTCAAAGTGTATTTCCCGATGAAGTTGCATTTGCTGGGGCTCCAGTGAGCTGGGTGAGTTTCTTCAAATGGCAGAGTTCACTTTTCCTCACTGTCCATATTTAGATCTGGGGGATGTATTCCCGACACCTCTAAGATGTTTGTCGTAATCTCTGCTAAATTGCTAACAGCTGGTCGGCGCAGTCTCAGAGGACAAGTGTGAGTTAACATCCGTTTCTCATCTGCCTTCACTCACCCCTTGAGCAACTTGGCAGTTTGTGGATGTTCTTCCCTGACCAGTCCAGCTGTTCCATCAAGGTCAAAAGTCAGCCGAGGCGATGAGCATAAAGGCACAGTCCTGACTCAGTGCTCTTGGTGGGGGACCTGCCCCTGTCTACGCCACTAGAAGTCTCAGGCCCTGTAGATACTCCCCACACTATGAATGGACCTTCTCAAAGGGATGGAATGATTTCCATAGGGAAGGGAGATTGCTGGTTACATATCAGCTCAAAACAAAACAAGACAGTAAGCACACAATTAACCCCTGGTACTGAGGACAGTAAGCACAGGCCGGGCAGAGCTCCCAAGGACTGTCTTCTAGAATATCCTGTCAGGTGGACGTGCTATTTCATTTCCAACTTGTAGTATCAAATGCAGGTGCCCATCCATGTTTCCAGAGGGCTTCCACGATTCCCAACTCCACTATGGGAAGCCCTCTGATGGGACAGGTTTGCTGTGTGTTATCTGACGCAAGGGAGAGAATCATGATGTTCAGGGCCGGTTTTTGCACATGGGACTCAAAATGAGGAAGACATGTAATCAGAGGGAGAGAGAGGGTGGTGGGGTCTGAAAAACACACCTACTTGTAAACACTGTCATAAGTTCACAACCTGAGGACAAAAAGGTCTGTCTTCAGATGGCTTTGTAAACTACAACACCATTCCGAGGCAAAGCTGAGCGACCTTCAGATACTGTAACTTTCTGAAGGAGGAAGATGTCCCACACAGTCACCACCTGCTCTGTAAACTGTTCCACTGTTTTGGGTGAGAGGATTCTTGGCCATCTTAAGAGTCTGCGAGCTCAGCCTTGCCCGATGGGACCCATGTAGTAGGAGGAGAGAACTGACTCTACGGGCTGTCCTCTGACGCTGTGCACACACAGTACACAAATGTGGATAAGAATATATTAATTTGCAAGCTGCAGAGGTGGCTCAGCGCTTAAAGTGAAAGCTTGAGGACCAAAGGTTGGATTTCCAAACCCCACATACACACCAGGTATGGGAGCCCAGATTGTAATCCCAGAAGTCAAAGGGCAGGATGGGGGCGGGCAGAGAAGAGAACAGTCCATGGACACTCATGGGCTAGCTAGCCTGGGTTACACAGGGGCAATGAGACCTTGTATCAAATAAGGTAGAAGGCAAGGACCAACAGCCATCTGACCTCCACATGTGTGTCATGGCACGCACATGCCTTCACACATATACACACACCACACATATGCACAACGTTAATTTGTGTTTCAAGTGCCTTAGTTTCTCAGGTCAGTTCTAACTACATTACAAAGGATAACAGATAACAGTTTTACCCCCCAAGTCATCTCTGGTGCCTCAGAAGAAAGGAAATCGGTACTGAGATGAAGGCTGTGGGCTGCCATATACCAGCGGCAGGTCAAAATCTGGTGTGATCCTGTCACAGGCACCTGACAAGGACACCAGCCTTGTAGTTTTCAATGCAGCTCATGACTGTTTCATGGAGATGTGTCCACACAGTAGATCTTCAGATAGGCTTCTGAAGACCCTGCTGGAGTGTGGGGGAGAGGGGGGATGGATGTTGGTTTTGCATCTGTCCCCCTCTTGGATGCCAAGCTAAGGAGAAAAGCAGCCCTATATTCTAATCTTACAGAGACAAATGAATTATTCTGACGAGATGGGTGGCCCTCCCTTGAGTACAAGTGGTGCTCTGTTACCTACCTCTATGGTCCACATGTCTCCTTCCCTTCAATTATGGTTAGGAAGAATTCGTCATGGTACAATCAACTTCTGCTGATGCCCTGCCTCTGGCTTCAGCAATGCTGTGTCTTCACCCGCTGCTCCAAGAGCTCAGGGAAGGAGAGCAAAGACAACATTAATCAGTCTCTGAAAACAGAAGGGGCTCAGTGAACACACAAAACAGAGGCTGCACATAACTCTTACACAGGAGCACTTTACCTGGGACTTCAGTGTCTTCAGCAAAATGTCCACCCCAAGCACATGGCATAAATCCTGGAAGTGACATTCAAAGAAAGACGTCACAATGTTTGCTTTGGAATAAAGTTCCATCAGATGTCTTTGTGGGGCACTACACATGGATGATTCTGTTCCTGGACCCTTTGATTTGGATGACTTTAGACAACCACAGCGGGTTCTCTGAAACATTTTTGGAGAGAAATGACATGTAAGTTTTCAGGGTGATGTTTCTGGAGTGAGAGGAGGGCTGTGCATATTTGATGAATACATACTCTTTGGGAAAATCTCTCTCCCAGGTAGAACGAGAACTTTCACTTGGGTTTGTCCTTGTTGTCCTGGTGTGTTCCATGAAGAAGCCATGGTGAGGACCATTGATGACAACTCACAGAGAGCAGATGTAACCCATGTTGATGGCTCTTACACACGAGCCTGCCAGAGTGGGGTGGTGAGGTGGCCCACGAAATCCTCAGGACTAGACAACTGGGGCTTACCACTCCTCTGTCTTTCCTGATCCTCAGGGACTAAACGATTGGGGCTTACCACTCCTCTGTCTTTCCTGAGACATGTCGCTCAACTCCACACTCCAGGCTTCACTCATCACTTCCCAATCCACAGAAAAATGGAGTAAGGGAATAAGGAAGGATGCAAGATGCAGGAAGTCTAGCCATGGCTGGAGGAAGACCGCAGGACCAGTTCTTCTCATACCCCACTAGACAGAGCTTAGCTGAAAAGGAGGCTGGGAAATGTAGTTTTTATCCCGGATAGCCAGGCGCTCAGACGAAATGGGTAGAGAACAGACCCTAGGACTGATAACTAGTGCTCCCTTCCAGTTACCTTTATTCAGACCCCACATTTTCATGAGATCGGAGGACACTGCATCAACCTCAGCAAAAACAAGGATATTAGTTTTCCTTTGAAATTGTAAGCACTGAAGAAGAAACCATGCCAGGGAATTATCCTACATCTATTGAATCACCTGACTCAACAGGCCCCATTGCAGACAAACAAATACAGATGTAAGAAAATAAGATTCAGAGATGTAAGAAAATGTCAGGTCGAAGGGGTCAAAATGTGAAATTAAAACCAATCTGCCCGGACTCTTACCACTTTGTTATTCCCCAAGCAAGAAAAACAAATAAGCAACGACAGCAACAAAAACTGAGGCCGATTTCCTAGGAGGACCCTGGAACGTTGGTGATGCCAGACAGAAACTAGAGTTTACTCACTCTTGCTCTGCTCTGGGGCACCTGCTCTGAGGTGGTTTAATTAACTCCTAAAAGCAGGAGAGGAGCAGAGGAGGGGTAGGAAGGGTGGGTGAGGCAGAGAGAGGAAAGGGAACGAGGGATGGAAGAGAAAAGAGTGGGCAGGAAGGCAGGAGGAGGAAGTTGGGGGTTCTCCATGAATGAACTGGTTTCCTTCTTGGCCAGGCCAGGGTTCTTTGTGAAAACAGGCCTGTGGGTCTGTCAGTGCTGGGGGAAGGATGGCTCTTGCCTCTAGAACACAATGTTCCCTGTGAACGAATACTCAAGATGAACTTTCAACACAAGAGGAAGAGACTATTATTCTTGGCTTTCCTTTTCAGAGGATCACAGGAGTGAAACTGACTAGCGACCACTCATCATTTTCGGCTGACAAAACTTAAATTTCACCTGTCTGTAGGCAATGAGTTCCAGGCAAGGGGCTCTCTCATTTCCTGCTCAGTGTCAAGGATGACAGCCAGGGCTGTGGCAGACCTCAGATTTTTCATTTTTATGAACAGGAAAAGAGAGCATTAATGTCCACAGAAATCAAAACTACCCAACCAGAAGCAAATCCCAAACTAAAGTTTCAGAGGACATATGCTCATACCTGGGAGATTATGAAATAAACGGCAACTCTCTGGGAGTATGGGGGTGTAAGGAAGCATGTTGGAAAGCCAGGGGATCTTTTGAAAAGATTTTTGTTTACAAAGGCATCTGGGAGAATCCAGAGCAGGGAGGGAAAGCAGACTGAACATGGCCAGCAGACAGGATGTCACCAGGGCTATCTTCAAGAGGGAAGACCAGCAGGGGACAGAGAATTGAGAGAACACGGGAGAATCAGGAGCAGAACACAAAGAACACAGTGAGAAGAGCGGGGACTATTGAGTAGCTGGAGGACTTTAGGGGAGGGGAGGAAGTGAGAAGGACTTTGAAATGTGTGACCGGTACCTGTGATGCTGAGGAAGATTGGAGGCCAGCATGAACTCTGAGATGCTGACAGGCAACATAGACAGCCAGAGGTCCCTTCTGCCAGAGGTAAGGCAAGCGACTCCTTTTGGTAGAGGGGAACCAGTTTCGCAAGTTCCCGAGGAATGCTGGCTTTTATCTAACTGCCAGAAATCCTCCCTTAGTTTGGGTTGAGCCCATTTCTGGATACTTGGACTGACTTTTGGGGTTTGGGGAACTGAATTTTCCTTTGGACTTGACATGTTTCAGCTTAGGACATCCATTATGACCTCATTTCCCACTTCCCAGGAGCCCAGAGGTCCCCTTAAAGTGCTTAATGTGTCTTAGCTTCGGGGCAGAAAGGGGGAAGATGCAAGAGCTGGTTTGTGTCTTTGTTGCCCTTGCCTCCTGGAGTGTAAATGCTGAAAAGGACTGACAAGTTACAAGGCAGGGGCTTGTGTTCCTTTTACAAGCATGCCCCCCCCCTCTCGTGTGCAAATGTGCATATGCCTGTGTAACCAAAATTCAATGCTGGGTGTCTTTCCTCAATTACTCACCACCTTATTTATTGAGATAGGGTCACTCACTGACTGGCCCTGAAGCTCAGCAGCTCATCAATTGGCCTGGCTGGCCAGCCAGTAATCTCTGGGGATACACGTCTCCACCCCCGAGTCCCCAGCAACAAGGTTACAGATGAGCACCTGAGATCTGCTGACCTGGGGTCATCATGCTTGTGCAGTAGCCTCTTTACCAGCTGAGTCACCGCCACTGTCCTAAGCCTCATTTTTGACATTAACTGTTAGGGTCCGAGGTCCACTTTTGTAAATTCTGTCTGGGTCAAAGGAGGAAGAGATGACACTTTTCAAATGTATCCACAGACTGAAATTATTTGAGAAAAAAATTGGGTATGTACTAGAAGTAAACATACCTTTCTCTTGTCGTATTCCCTCAAAACACAGCGGCTGTTTGTCTGTATGCAGCCCTGTTGAACTGGCTCTCCAGAGTCATCTGGAGATGATTTAAAGTTGTGGCGGTCGTGCACACACACACACTGTGGGCTTCCATAATGGACATCTGAGTATGTTGGTACCCTGGGGCGGTGGGGCTTGGAATGGCCATAGAGCCTGAAAAGCAGGGATGAAATACACAGCCAGCTCCATTCAGATGACATACGCATCCCTCACACTACAATCATGTCTTTGGATGCTTGCTCATTTCTCTGTATGACATTCACACATCTCTATTGTTTTGATAGGACACACGGACCGTTTCCTTTGTGCTAGCTCTCACAGCTGTGTAGCATTATACAATTCAAACTAACAGAAGGTTGCAATGCAGGGCTCAGTGTGCTTAGTTAAGTACTTGTTGGGTTACAGACTGTCTTAGGGTTTCTATTGTTGTGAAGAGACATCATGATCACAGCAACTCTTATAAAAACATTTAACTGGGGCTGGCTTACAGGTTCAGAGGCTCATTCCATTGTCATCATGACAGGAAGTGGAGGCCTGTACACAGACATGATGGTGGAGAAGGAACCCAAGAGTTCTACTCCTGGATCTGCAGGCAGCAGGGAGAGAGTGACACTGGGCCTGGCTTGAGCATTTGAAACCTCAAAGCCCACCCTCAGTGACACACTTCCTCCAACAAGGCCACACCTCCTAATAGTGCTACTCCCTATGAGCCTATGGGGGCCATTTTCTTTCAAACTACCATGCTACCTTTCAATAGTCTCTCTGTCACACACTGAGGGGTGTACACGCTCCCAACTTGGACATCTTGTCCTGAGGCTACCCTGCTGTTCTCATAGTCATAGGTAATCACCCAAAAACCTTCATAGTGATGGCTACAACAGTGCCTTCGAGGGGGTCACTAGCCAGTTCCACCCCCTGGTCCCAGGCCTCAGCCCACTTCCCCACAGGGTAACAGCCTTGACCCCCAACAGGGCCCAATGGTCCTATGCAGTTCTCCTGGGTTTCTGAGAATGCCCCCCACTCCGGAAGCTGATCCTACTGGGGCCTGTCACACAGAGCTGCACACAATGAGAAAACAAAATCACTACTCAGGATTCATCCTCCAAGCAACAAGATAGCTGAAGAAAGTGGGGACCCCAGGATTCACTCACGCACTTCCTTCCCAGTCACAGCTGGAAGAGACTCTGCCTCTGAGGCCTTGGCTGCATAATGCCTGGTCTCCTGACTTCTTGTTGAGGACATTCCACTGTCAGGCTGACACGGCTGATTCTGTTCCTTCCTGCAGATTCCATCCTCATTGCCTTTTGGGTGAGCCTGGTGACTTTCGTGGTGCTCCTCTTCCTCATCCTGCTCTACATGTCCTGGTCAGGCTCCCCGCAGATGAGGTAAGCATTGGGTAGGTGTAGGGCATCTGCACGGTGGGATAGCACCCATTCATGCTAAGCGTGGCCTCACAATGACAATCTGTACGTGCAGTTATGGTTCCAGTTTGTGAATACAGCCTGTGATGTTCACAGTGAGACACCTAGTGATCCTCTTCCTGGCAGTTAATAGCACCTGCTGTCCTTCCGGGGGACCAAGTTGGGTTCCCAGCACTCACAATGGGCAGTTTTACTGTGGCGTGGTATCAACTCCAGGGGGCTGCACATTCTCTTCTCGTTTGTGTGGCCTACACTTACTTTGACACACACGTGTGCACACACGCATACACACACACACACAATTTTTTTTAGAAATTTAAAAGACCCCCAAGGCATTGTGTGTGGACCCTCCCCACTCTCGCAGAGAGAAGGGGGGGTGGACAGGAAACAAAACTGTTGCTGCTCCTGAGGCATCTGAAGAGACCCCTTCCTGCCTCCCCCCACCCCCCCACCCCCCGGCGGCTCCCCTGCCTTTAGCACTGTAGCCACATGAAGAATGATTCTCCAGCTTAGCTAGTCTCTGGCCCCTGCTCACCCTGATGCCTCTTATGAGATAGTGTCATCCAGTTTTGTGAATAAAAGCCAATGCAGGTGGGAAGCAGCGGCCAAGGCCTATGCCAGGCAGCCATGTTCACTGCGCTCAGCACCCCTAGGGCCTGGAAATCCAGAAGACAGGTTTCTTAGCTAAAGACACAGCGTGGTCACAAAATGAGCTGACTGGGCTCTCTGTCTGGATTAAAGGCCAGTAGGCCCCTGTGTGAGAGGAGGTGAATACAGAAGCAAGGATACGCACTGAAGGAGGACTCAAGACCTGGTTCCCAACAAAGCTGTCTTCCCCACAGGCACAGGACAAGCATGGAGTGCCAGGCGAGCCCTCCAGCTCAGAACTATTCTCTAGCCAGTCCCTTTGATCTTTGTCTCTTGTTTGTTCTGTCCACAGACACAGTCCCCAGCCCCACCAAATATGCCCATGGAGTCACAGCCTCCACCTCCCCTTCTGCCTCCAGAGGGCCTCCAGGCAGGCAACAGAGGAACCAGGAAGGAGAACCAGCTCTGACCAATGTTTACAGCAGGAGAGTCCCTCTGCCTCACCCCCTGCACCTCTGGCTCTCCCCTGGGACCAGGCTTGGGTCGGAGGTTCCCAGGGCATCAGCTGACCTCAGGAACCAGCAGTGGTGAGCCTGGAGACAGAACTTCTCAACTGTAGAACAGATGCCAGTGAGCCAGTCAAAGCGAACTGATAAACTGATAAACTCAAACCAACATGGACAGATCTGTCTTTTTAAGGCCATTTACAATGCAGCAAGAAACTGAGCAGGTGAAAACCAAGTCTACAAGGAGGGCCTTCACACACGTTAATAGTCTGGCTGGGATGGAGAAGCTGCCCCAGACACAGCTGATTCTGTTGAACATGTTTAAAGTGCTTACTTTGCTTTGGGAGTCATGGGGAAATAAAACATGCATGCCGCTGTCGCTTCTTCTGCCTGAGCATGCTCTTGTGAGGATGCTGGGGAAGCCCATCCACAGACCTCCCATGTGCCTTCCCAAGCCAGCTCAGCTGGGTCACACTGCCCCTTCTCCACAGCCTTTCAAGACAGAGCCCAAGGAGCTTGTCAGAAGCAGGACCTGAATCTAGGGGAGCCAGCCAGCCTCCAGCACTGTCCCAGAATGTCAAGTTCTCCAGACTAGCAAGTAGCTTCCCATTTTAGATGCTGCTTTATGGGACCGTGGCTCTCAGAGCCCGAAACAACTACGTGTCTAGTACCGACGGCCGTGGTTGAAGAGAGATAGCACAAGGCCCAGAAAACAGGCAGTGCACCCATTAGTGTAGTCAGGAGTTGGTAGGCTTTATAATCTTAAATGATGGCTTTCCTGTTCCACCACAGAGTTCTCGCCAAGGCAGCCTCCTGGTTCTGACTGGAGTGGGGTGATGCCAAAAGCACAATGAGCAAACCCCTTCTGTAAAATGGTGCTGTATGTGTACATGGCCTACCTCTAAGCCTCACTTCTGGAACAATTTAACCATCTCTAGACTCTCTCCATCTGGTGCAATGGGAAGGTGAGGTATGCGGTTTCCTTTGGAACAAGGAAAGCCTGCACACATCAGCACAGAGGCAATCCGTTCAGTATCACACATGTGGACTGGGGGTCTAGAAGGCCGGGTATATAACTCCAAGTCAGGTGCAGAAGACCTCAAAGGATCCGCTCTCCACAGGAGAGGGCCAGGCATGGTCTCACCAGACTTGGTCAATATAAACAGAAGACGGAGAGGAGAGAAGGTGAGCTCCTGAGCTCAGACGAGGCTCTGCAGTCACTGTCACCACCTAAGGCAGCACCCATCTCCCTTGTCTCTACTATGACCTCTCACCAAATCCTACCCAGGGCCAAGACAGAGACGGCTGGCACTGTCAGACTGCATGTGAGCTCGAGCTCACTCCACAGGAACACTCAAGCCCCACCAAGTCACCGGGACCCACGAACCCAGTGGACAGTTGAGGACTGGGGCTTGTGACAGGCTGTGGAAACTTGGGGTCTAGTGCCCACTCCTTTGCTTTCAGAGGGACATACTCCAGATCCTGTCTTTCCAGTCACTGTCCCACTGTGTAACGGTCAGAGGTACCCACAAGTAGGACAGTGTTGATAAACCACAATCTGAAGGCACCTTCCCACCTCAGTGTCCCGGGCTTCTTGTCTGTTCCCTGCAATTAAAGGTTAATGTTCCTTGTCTGTGTAACAGGACAACACACAGATGCACATAAAAGTGCAAACGTTGAAGTCGAAAGCAGCCATTCTCAGTACTACATACACCACACAAAAGAAACTAAATCTCTAGCTCACAGGTGACAGCTCAAACACAAGGGACCAGTGTAGAGAGAGTATTTTATCTGCAAAACCCATGAAAGGTCATACTGACCTCTACCAGAGACAACACCTAGTAACAACCATGAAAGTTAAATTCTGACATAAAATGCATGTCTCTGAAATAAGTTTGTAAAATGAAAGCAACGTGACCCACAAAAATAGCTATTTATTATCAAAACAGTATAAAACTCAAAATCTTCTTTGAAATATAACTTAAAAAATACAACACACTTAAATAAAACAGCAAACTCGGGCAGGAGCTTGCTCATTCCGTCACAGAAGATACCTTACGATTTCTCACAGAGACAACTGAAACACTGGTCATGTGCACCCCAAGACACAAGTGTTCACATTTCAGCTTGAATCCATGAATCCATTCTGTACTTACGAGCACCACTTAGGGAGCTTCCTCTGTCAGGAGCTCCGGGACAAGGGGATGGCAGCTATTCGAACAAACCCTCCAAGGGCCTCATGGCCCAGCAGTGCCCCGGTCACTACAACTCTGATGACAAGGTCAACACCTGCTACTCTTGTTGGTCAGTTCATTAAGTCCTCCTAAGCTTCCTTGCTGGCAAACACCTCAGTGTGTCAGCTCACACCTCTGGGAACCGTGGCCCACTGGAGTGCTCGCTGGTCAGCAGGGGCAGGTCAAGAGTCAGAGTTGATGTCCTTGCAGAGCACAACAATGTCCTCCTCCTCACCACGAGGCCTGTCCTTTACAGCCTCACAGATCATTCTGACATGAGCGAGGAAGGTGTCTGGCTGCTGGGCCCCCAGCCAGATGTCCTTAATGTACAGAGACACCAGGAATGCTGAAGAAGCTGGGGAGAGTTGGACAAGGCCATTAGGATGGGTACTTGCTCAGATGGAAAGCAAACCACCACCCACAGTGCACCAGGGCTTTGCACAGCTGCCAGACACACTATGCCAAAACCTGTGGAAACACAGGTGTGCATGCAGAGAAAAACTGAATTTCCCCCTTTCCTGTCTGATCATTTTAAAGTTTACTTTCTTCTGATGAGTGCATATTGACTTTAAAAAAGAAGTTACTCCAAGTCCCATCCTGGTCAGGGCCTCATGCCCAGACCATCACTGACTTGGCATTTAGCATCTCAAAGAGCATGCTTAGGAAAAGCATGAGGTGTACAGGCACAAAGACTCTTTCTGCTGCAGCCAGATGAGAACGTGCAGGCTCCTTCTGCTCTCAGAAGTGGTCACAGCCCAGCCCGCTGGCCTTTTCCCTACCTGTGAAAGCATCCATTCTCCCTGATGGAGGACATACCTGCCACTCCATCTCAGCCACCAAAGCTAAAGCAGGTCATTATCCACTCGGTATTACATCCACGCCCCTGGATGCTGAGCAGAAACTGCACGTGTGGGTATGTGGTCATTATGTTCTAAGGGGTGCCTGCCATCCATCATAAACATGACTGTCACTAAGGAGGAAGACTTGCTCTCCCTTTACATTCCCTCTCTGTGACTCCAGTCTTGGTGAGGGCCCAGCTAAACGTCATAGCACCAAGCTGAAGTCACTCTACCCTGCCGCCCCCTCCCCCATCTTTAGTTTTGACCGAAGGGCTCACATTACCTCGCTTGGCTTCATTCTTTTCGTTCAGGCAATCAAGGCACAGGGCCTGCACCACTGGGTGGAAAGGACTATCTATCTGGCCCTGGGCCACCAACAACTGCAGCATGACAGTGCTGAACTCGCAGGCCACATCCTGTGCAGGCCCTACCAGGCCCTGGGTACTGCAGTGGTGACTGTACAGCCTCAAGATGCCACTTTTCACAGCACTGTCCCTGAGAAGATCTGCTACCACCACTGGATGTGGCAAAATGTGGCTCTTGAGCCAATCAAGGAGTCTTGTGGCCGCTGCCCTGCTGAGGGGACACTCAGCCAATGACCGCAGCACCCAGTTGGCCACCAAGGAAAGAGCAGCATGCGTAGAGCCCAGTGTTTCACTTCTGGGGGTAGCCTGGCCCACAGACTCCTGAGTGGGTTCAGGGATGGGGACAACTGGACCCCAGTGAGTCAGTGTGGACTTTAGGAGGTTCTTGCACGTCTCCAAACTAGATGCTTCCAGCTCAGGCTCAGCAGTCTCTTCCACTTCTCCAGGCCTCTTCTTTCGGCCTCGTGGGCCTTTGGCATGGGAAGCTGTTACTGGCTTGTTCTTATCCTTGAGCATTTCTGTTAAAGACAGAGAGAAAAGGTGAGGCTGGGGTTACCACATACATACAGAGTGTGTGTGTGTGTGTGTGTGTGTGTGTGTGTGTGTGTGTGTGTGTGTGTGTATTAGGGAGGTGTGCAAGCAGTGTTGGATCCCCAGAGCTGGAGTTAAAAGTGTTGGTGTTGCTTTGATAGAGCACTACACACTCTTTAACTTTGTGTTTTAAGACCGGGTATCTCAGTGGACCAAGGCTTACTCATCTGGCTGAACTGGCTGGCTAAGCAAACATCAGGGATCCATCTGTTCACATCTCCCCAGCACAGGGACTATAAACATGCTTTGCCATGTTCAGCTTCTGTGAGTTCTGGAGAGCCCCCTCAGGTCCTTCTGCATGCGTGACAAGCACTGTCTAGGCGGCACTTTCTCCCAGGCCTTCTCAATCTGTTCTCGAGTTGAGAGCAGAGAACAAGGTGCAAACAAGTCACTCTTAGGCACCTCCTTTACAGGCGAGAACCTCAACACTCCTATTATTGTTTGGATTGTCTACATCCCCTAAAGCCTCTGTGTTTTAGGTTTGCTCCTGGCAAAGCCATATCTGATGGGAACAGCAGACGTCCTAAAGCCAGCACAGCTGTTTGACAAAGATCCAGCAAGGCTGAGCCACATAATGGCTGCTGTGCCACCTTTGGTTTTCATCCCCACCTACTGCATACTTGGAATGCTTTTACTATTTGAACAATTTAGGGATACTGGATGGATGGAAAATTTCTTATGAATCAATTATGCCTTGTTCCAGGAGTATTGCTTCTAAACTCCCCCAGAAAAGTCCTGAACTTACTACCCTTCCTGCTTTTAAGGAGATATCCTTATCTACTTGAAGATCTTCCTTATGCTTGGAGGTTGTGACACACATAAGGGACCCAGAAGTCTCTTTATAAGGCTATGAGACACTCTTGAAAATTCTGTCCCTGAACTTACACAGGAACAAGATACTCAAAACAAAGTAAAATCAAAAGTGTCAACAAGATTCATTGGGCTAGTGGAGTTGGCCACAGTTCAGATCACAAGCCTCTTCCCATTATACACTCAGGCAATTACATGGCATAGACAGCAACAAGGTTGGATTAGCTGAAGTTACCTCTGCCCTACACAGAGACTCGTATTCATGAACAAAGAATGGAGTGGAAAGATGACACAAGAGTAAGAATGTCAGAACCTCCCCATCTTAGAAAAGTTAGCACATGCTGAGCCACAATGTTGTCATATGACCAAGGAACAACAGAATGCCAAGATTAGACACACAGACTAAATCTATAAAAATATAAACACTGTGTTATGCCAGAATTTGAATAATAACTGCAGCAGCTTTGGCTTGAGGATATTTCTTAGGTACTCTAACCATTAAGAGTTAATAATACACGCCTTGGACAGGGCAGTATGCCCAGGATGGTTTGAAGATTGTTTGGGTCTAGTGTCCTTGTACTCACAAAAGCTACCAGCCTGAGAACAGGCTGACATATGCCTTTAGATTCATAAAAATTGGGTCATAGGGTTGATGAGTAAAAGTGATTATGAAAGATAACTGTGTATCAATGATGTCAAAACTTTAGAGAAAATGATTGGCACTGGTAAGTCTGATCTGTCAGTTTATTAATGATGACAAAAAGATGAATAAGAGAAAATATTAAACACATGTCCAAAACCAAAATTGATATGATCTATGTATTGGAACAGCATGAATGTATCCCTGCTTACTAAATTCTGTACAAATAAAGAAGCACTCAGGCTGCTAGTCAGTCAGACTGCAAGATTCTCCAGACCACCATTGCCTGGCTCACTTCCTTCCCTCACCTACTCCTTACACTTCCTGCTGGGACCTTCGTCTCCACAGGGGATGTGCTCCCTTCCTCTCTGTCCAGCTCTCCTAAAACGGAACTAAGTGTCCAGTGTCTGATTGCTCCCATCGCCACTCTTGCATCCACCCATCCTCGGGCTCTGCTCTCATCCGGAGCTGGACTCCAATATGCTCTCAATGCAGCAGAGTGTTGAAGTGAATGGCTCAGGGGGGCCCTGATCTTGGGGTGAAGGGATTAATACATGTATGTACTTACAGTTTAGCAGGCTATGGGAGATGTGAAAAACTGGGAAGTAGATCCCTGGCAGTGTACCCTTGAGGGTGGAGCTAGTCCCAGGTCCCTTGTCACAGAGACATAAAGCTAACACACTTGGGTACCAAATTACTTAAAGGCAAAAAAGGCCACAGGCATTGGGGCTAGACTTGAAACCCAGGTCCTCACTTCCACCCCTGTGCCACATCAGCTCTGAACTGTGGCTAAGTGAGGGCAGCCAAGGAGATCTAGAACTTACTCATTAGGTCCTTGTCTTGGTGCTGCTCAATGATGGCTTTCAGGGCTCCTTGGAGCTTTGTGTCTCTTTCAATGAGGCTCCACTTATGTAAGAGGACTAGGACATCTTTGGTGGAAAGTGTCACCTTGTTCACAGTGAATCGACCCATGTCCTTGAAGGTCTTTAGGATGGTGGCCCGATAACTCAGCACAGACTCGAGAGTCCAAAAGAAGTTGATCAGCTGGGCAGAGGTCAAGGCTGGCCTGTTTGGAAGCCAATGTTACAGACTGAGGAAAGCTGACCCTGTCCTGACCAGCCCGGCAAAGTCAGGGTCACACAAACTACACTTCTTTCTAAGGCCAAACCAGTCTGCACTCAGGACACAGCAGAGGGAAAGTGAGGCACTCTAGAGAGATCTGGAACCTCAACTCTGTGCAGGAGGAAGAGAAATCTCTTTGGAAAGCTAAGCTGAATGGGAGACACTAAGCAGAAGATGGAGGGTCAGGGCCATGGGAGTGACACAGAACTCCCCTAGGGTGCTGATTCCTCTCTAGCCCAGGCAGCCCTGTTCAGTATACCCTATAGGCAAAGCCTGAATGATGCTCAGTGGAAGGATGAAAGCTTTCTGTAGTTTTAATGTCACCTGCTACACACAAGGTTGAATGTTAGATCATCATTTCCAAGGGCTATCAGCTGTCGGGCAGCAGTGTGCCAGGCAACCCCAAAGTAAGAGGTATGATTGTCCAGCGGAGTCTTAATTAATTTGGGACACAAAACCAACTGCCCTGTTCTTACCAAAAAATGCCTCCATTCTGAGCCCCATTCTGCCCCTCCAACACATGTCAGCTCCCAACATGAGAAATCTAAGTACACATTTTCTCCAACAATGACTCTGAGGAGAATTCTGCTCACAGCGGAAACTTGGAACCCGACTCAAAGATCAGCTGACAGGACTGGTGAGCTCAAGGATCCGTGTACATGTGCACCTCTGGAGGCTGGAGAGGTGGTGAGGAAGGCTTGCAGGAGCCCTGGCTAAGGCTAAGGTCACAGGAAACATGCTCTTCTGTGAGCCCTCATTTGTTTAAGCTTGGTGGGGGTGCGGCAGGGGCATAACCCAGATGCCTTTCCTGCTAACAACGCCCTAGCATGGTGGGTTCTAACAGCCTGCTAAGCCTTCAGGGTCTCCATGAGAACCTTGGAGACTGAAGTGAAAATAAAGATGTCCCGATGCTGGCACAGTACTCTAGTCCAACCCACAGCACACCATGGCTCAGGGCTCACCTGCTGGGTGTGAGAAGGGTGTGGTGACCCCAGATGACAGAAAGGGATAACAGCAAGAGCCACCATTGCCTCCATTTGCACAGCAGGCTTACCTCAGGTGCTTTGTAAGTTCCATGAGGACATACAGGAACTCGTTTACAATGTGCAGGGCAAGCATCTTCTGGGACTCGTGGGAGCCAGGCTGGCACGTTGGCTGCACCCCTTGCTCTGGTGCTTTGTTACCCAGGTTGGTCACCCACAGGGTGTGTAGCAAGGAGATCACGTTGGAGAGCAGCTGAGTCTCCACAAACCTGAAACCAAACATGGCAGCAGCCTAGATCACTGTCACCCATCAAGGAGTCCAATTTGTGAAGGTGAGATGGGGACCACACAACAGGGCAGAACACGGGTGACAGCCCTGCCTGCCTTCAACAGTCTGACCTGGTCTCCCCTCAAAGTGTATGGTCTAAGTGAAAACAAGGCTCCTGGTGTAGAAACACAGCATCAAGACAGGATGAGGCCACCAGACCACTTTCTAAAACAAAACTGTCTCAAGTCCCTAAAGTACAGTAAGAGCAGCATTGTGGTTACAGTAGCAACTTGAGCCCAGGAAAGGCTACTAGTCAATTATGCCTTTTAAAAAATCTGAATGTCCTAAAGTTGTTGATGTTGGAAGACAAGCTTTAAGCTGTTTCTTCCTTTTAGAAAGATTTTATTCTATTTGTCTTTTTGAGGCAGGGTCTGGCACTTTAGCCCAGACTGGCTTTGAACCCCCTGAAATCCTCTGGCACAGCCTCCTGAGTAGTGGAATTACAATCACGAGTCACAAAGTCTGCACAAGAAACTTTAGAAAAATATCTTTTTAATGCCAATCTCCTCCGGCAGTGCTTATTTCCAGGTATCAACACCTAGTTTTTATATTAGGGGTAAAAGATCATTTAAACTTTGGTTAAAAACAAATCAGTGAATGGCCACCTTCTGCAACACCGGGTTATAACGTAACAGTGCCACAAACCTCTGGGAATGAGGTGCAGGCACCCTTAAGAAGTCATCTCATGTTGGGACAAACAGGACAGTTAAACATGCAGAGCTCCCAGGGCTAAAGCTTGAGCATGTCAAGCTTTTCAAAGAGCTGAGAATTACTTCTGAAAAATGAACAGGAAGACCCAGTGGTCCCTGGGTGTATTACAGGCACCCTGTCACACACAGAGCCCTCCTGACAGTGTTGCTGTGTCAGGGACCCCAGCCTCAGACAGACTCACAGTGATGGAGACTATGAGGAATGACAGGCGTCTTCTGCCCAACCCCCTACCCAGTGCTTGAGAACTCATCTATCCTCACTGGGCATTCCAACAAGCCTTCTAGAACCAGAGGCCAGGTGACAGCATACTGTGTCAAACCCTATATAAAGCTGACCCCAATGGATGAGTATGACAGAGAAAGACAGGAAGGCCACTGAGTTCTGCCAAAGTGGACACAGCTTTGCTTCAATCCAAGGCAGACAAGAGACACTGAAAATTAGGGTTAGTGGAAGGGAAGAAAGGCCCTCTGGCTACTCCCAGGAGCTGGACTGCAAGCCCACAGGAGTATCAGTGGGACACCACTGCACACAATCTATTGATACTTAAACCGTAGAGATACCATGAACACATAGCTCATGCAAAAAGTTCTTACCTGCTCTCCAGGATGTGTAAAATCCATGTTAAAAGGCTATAGTCACGTATGATTTCATAGGCAGATCTGGTGATGAGGGCAACATTCTGCAGAATTTCCAGAATCCAATTCTGCAAAGTCCAAAAAGTCACTCCTTAGAGGACAAACAAACTTACTTGACCAAAAGTGGTTTTTCCTCCCACTGGTTTAACTTTTAATAGTTTTTAGATAGGGACGCACGCTGGTCCCAGACTCCTGAGGGCTGGGATTACAAGCATTGCCACTAGGCCAGCTCCAAAAGAGTGACCTCAAACTGTATCAGCATGCAAATGACAGAAGACAGACTCCCAGCTGTCAGCAGGCCTGGGGAGAGCCTCACTTCTGACAGTTAATCATGGAACTGACCTACAGCAGACATGTACCATGAAAACCACATAGCTCAGATACATGATGGTCCAGGTGGGACACAGCATAGACCCCAGACTTTCCAGACCATCAACACAGGACTATCCTTAACTGCTTCTAGGCACCTCAGAATTCTCTCACTATAAAAATAAAAACTACCAGACTCAAGTTCCATTTATTGCAATGTGGTTCTTCATCCTGACTGTAACCCCTCACATCTTACATTAAGATAGAAACAAAAGCTTGCCAGGTCAAGAATTAATCCAGGCACCTAAGCCTTTTCCCATTTACTTCTTTCAGCAGTGTGTATATTTAGAAAACATAAAATCGGCTCTTGGTCCCAGGGACAGTCAGGGGTCAGGGCAGACTCACTGGTTCCTATGCACGGTGAGGGGAGGCAGTCCCAACTCTCGATTCTTATTTATTATGATTTCCCAAAATCAAGGCAAGTTAAGAATTAAGTTTTTAATTAAAATTCAGAGTGCCTTTGACTTTTAAAGTTTTAGTGACAACTGTAAACTGTCATTTACTTAGATGATGATGACCACACCAGATAGTGAAAAAAGACAGGGATCCAGCCTGAGATGCCACTCTACAGCTGGGAAATCGGTGCATGGTGGCAGGGATTAGGACACAAGCAGTTGTGATCTCACAAAAACAAACAGAGAGTCAACTTCAAGTCTGGTCATGCCTACAATCCTGGTGCATGAAGAGGCAGGAGCAATGCTGCAAGTTCAAAGCCAGCAACATGAAATGCAGGCTTCAGGCCAGCCAGGGATACAAAGTGAGCCCTTGTTTCAAAAACAAAGAGTAAATTACAGAAGAATAATATAACCGATATGAACCAATAAAACTGAACATACAGCGTGACTGTACACAGGCCCACACTTAATTTATTTGGAACATGGTTCATGTCATGCATTCCAGGTTGGCCTTGAATCCTCCTGCCTCAGCCTCCTGAGGGCCGGGGTCCTTCTGCAAAGGCCTGTGTCTTCAGACACTGTTGGGAGCCAAATCTCAGGGCTGGGCATGAGATCCTAGGCCATGCTTGGCAGGCCACATAGTTAACCTTTACATAGCAGCTCCTTAGAACCTCAGCTCAAGAAAAGAAACAACTTGACCCAGTCCTCCACCCACAGGCTCAGTCACCTAAGCAACCCTCCCCGGACCTCTTAGTCATAAACTCTTTACCCTGCCAAACATCCTCTTTGTGGCTTCCTAATATTCTGCCTATACCAACACCTGGTGCACAAACAACTCATTTTGCCCCTCCCCATATCCTGACTATATAAGCTAGCCTGAGAAAAGTAAAGTTTGCCACTTGATCAGAATCCTGTCTTGTGGTCGTTCTTTCTGCGTCTCTTGTCCCCATTCCCTATCCCTGACTCTCTTGCCCCAGGTTGATGTCCTGCAGGTCGGGACAAGACACTACATGCAAAGCTAGGGTTCCAGGGCTCCTGTCATTCATATGGGCTCATTTGCATTTTGGCTTTTTGGCCAACTCCACTGTGGGCTTATGACCAGTAATTAGCAAAGAGGCAGAGGCCTTTCCTCCAATCGTACCATACCCTCCAAGGGTACGGTAAGAAGGTTACAAAGAAAACTGCCTGTCATGGGACGAATAATGCCAGACTTCACACACTATACCCATGCATCACTCAGCTGGAGCGAGTCCAGAGAACACAGTCAGCTGTGCAGGGAACCAGAGGAGCATGCTCACCTGAGCCACTTCGTCACACAAGGGGCTGCTGAAGAAGGCCAGGATGATGTGGAACACCCCTCTCCTGGAGCACAGCTCATAGCATTGCTTGTCCCTAATCCCCTGACGCAGAACTCCCAACACCCATTCTTGTTCAGTTTTTTGCTAGGTAGAGAAGAAAGAAAGCATTGTTAGATAAGTTACAGCCCTTTTGTTGGATAATCAAACAGCACTGTTTCCAGGTGATGGCCAAGAGCTCTGCTTTTACATCATTAAGAGTCTCATTCCATCTTTGATTCCATTATCCGCTCAGAACTCAAAGGCCAAGTCAAGTTAAACACTCAGCCATGTTTAAGTGGGAGGGAGTTTTACAGAAGAGTATGCAATTCTCAGTCCAGGGATTCAGCAAGGAAATACAAGAGGATGCTGCAAGACTCCGGACTCAGACTCTGAAGGAAGCAAGGCCTGTGTTTGGCTTGGTGGGGCAATACAAACTGTTCCTTTCTATGGCCTGGCTCTGCACTGTTTGTGTAATGGTACTGTGTAGCAAGATGTATTACTGGGGAAGACAGAACATGTAGGGGCTGAGCAATCTTGTCCACGAGTCTCTGGGGACCTTGAGGACTTGGCAACACTACCTGGAAGTCAGAGCTGTAGAAGAACTGGTAGAAGCCTGGCAGTTTGTCCATGTTCAGGTTCTCGTGAGACAGCAGGAACTTGCTGATCTTCCAGTACATGTGCTCCTCTGGAATACATGTAGACAGTCACTGACAGCCCCATGGTACAGTCACTGATGGAGTGTACACTGTGGGACAGATACCCAGCAGAGAGGCTCTGCATCCTCTTGATTACTAGGGCCTCAGAACCAGCATGACTGGAAATGCAAGACCACTTCTCCACACTAGTTTCTCCACTTGGCTTAGAAATGTTTCCTGGACTTGGCCACAGAGACAAGAGCACAGGGCTCACACTGTCTGCTTCTAGCCTCTCCTAGAAAGGAGCTGACCCAGGAGGGAGGCTCAGACATCTGGCTCTGGGATACAAGGTAGGGAGGGTACACATGTCCTCTTCTTGCTGCAGTCTCAAAGTCTAGCTGGAGGGCCACTGGTCACCAACACATGACCTTCCTTGGCACGAGGCCTGATGTGACGGCTATACCCAGGCACCATGGGCTCAATGGGAGGCTACAACCATGAACATCCGATCTCTGCTGTATTTTCTCCTAACAGACTCTTCTAAATCAGCCAAGTGGTAATTATATAGCCTCCTTCACAAGTTTCCAAGGCAGGGAAAAATATGTCACACAAAGCACGTGACAGATGAAAACCAGACCTGAATTCTAAAAGCAACTTGACTACACACTAACTGGAGAGGCCTCAGATGGTGAGGAGGTGGGGGTTGTTTACTCAGCTGAGATTATGACCTTGATGGACTAACAGAGCCCTGGGGTAACAACCTTCTACTGGTTTTTCTCTGATTAACCCTTCTGGTGAATAAAGATCTGTTACATGCATGTCCTTTCAGAGGTGGCTATTCCCCAGGAGCTGTGTTCTAACATTCTGGGTCACACTGTAGGTGTGTTTTGTTTGTCTGTTTTTCCTCCACCGGAATCTATGAGGGTACCTGGTTTCAAGATCTGTAGTGCTGCCTTGGCAATGAAAAGAGCCAGGGTAAAGGGGAGCCTCAGGTTCGGAGCTTTAATTCCATTACGGACAACATCCAACAGGTACAGAACCTGAACAGAGGGGGGAAAAGATCAGCATTTTCAGAAAGTATCTGCTTTGTCACAGCTTTTCGGGGAGTGTATGTTCCTTAGAGCACGACACTGTGTGCCTTCCTTTTGGAGATGTTCTCTGCCCTCTTCTTTTAGGAGCTGGCTTGCACAATGCGCGAGAGAAGCCAAACAACGCTCCCTGAAATGGTGACCTGCTCCTGTCCCTCTAGCACCACTGGGTGTGGGTTTCTAGGGGTCAGATCGTGTGGATGACAGTTGCCTTCACCACTGAGTTTAGACCAAAGACACATTCAACAGAAGGCAAGCCATTTTCTCTAGCCACAAGAAAACTCTGCAGGGGAACCCTTTCCAGTGGGCCCTGGGGTTAGAAGGCAGCCTCCCAAGGTGAGCTATGCCTGATCAGGGCCTCTCACTCACACCTTCTCTACACTCCTCCTCCTGCCCAGGTGACAGCAAGCTCTCCAAAGCCTCATCTCCACAGTACATCCAAATCCTACTCACCTGGGCCTGTTCCCGGAAGCGAGCTCCCTCCAGGTGAGAGTAGTAGGCTGCTAGGACATAGTAGGCGGCAGCGCGCATCTGGGGATCATAGCTGCTGAGGGCTGCGACAGTCAGACCCAGAGCGTTTGAATCCAAAAATTTTCGACAATCCACCACAAACTCTACAGAAAGTAAATTATAGCATTAAACACAAGATCCAAATTTCATGATTCTTGTACAGCCTACAGGATTCACTTTCATTTCACTCATTTCATTCCATCAATGCCAGCTGTACAGGCTGGACACAGAAAACACATGCCTCTCTGGCTGCTAAGACTGGACTAGGGTATCTTCCTTTCTGTGGCAATGATTGCCCTGTTTCTAAGACACTGGTCAGTTCTAACCACAAATTCTCCCAAAGCACTGAGGGCAAGTGAGGGCAACACGGAGACCCACTATAAAATCTCAGCACATCAGCAAGGGACCTGGCTTCCAGGTCCTAACTTGTTCAGCCCTGTGCCTCTGTCCCATGTTAAAGACCAGAAGGAACAATAAGTTGGGACACTCAGCCAGAGCAAACCAGTGGGGTCTAGACCCATTCTGTATGCAATGGATTTCCCTACCTTTCCACTCTGGCAACCCTCCTTCCTTTATTCTTTAAACACCCAACAAAACCCGTTGTAGAGTGGTTCACCAGGCTTAAACAAAAGCAACAGTCAAAAATGTCTGCTGGCGCTGGGGGCCAAGTCTACCACACATGGCCATGAGGTGATTCCCAGCATTGATGGGGACAGGGAGAGCCTGCTGGCTGACATCCTTCTGCTCTATGTGAGGCCTCAAGACACCCCCAACTGCTCCACAAAAGTGTAAGACAGATGGATCACATACACAGGGGACCAATCCCAGACGCTCACCAACACAACCTGTATCTTGTCAGCTCCACTTTAATGGGAACTCAGGCCTTCCCCCAGGAAGAATTCTGTCAAGGAACCTCAGAAGAGAGCTGTTTCCCTTACTGAGAAATGAGTAACCTGATAATTCCCCACAGAGATATTTTTTAGATTGAGTGGCCAGTGACCCAATCAGGACCTCACAGAAGCAAACTGAGACGCGTGTCTTCTGTGAACACTCTTGGGATATACTATCAAAGTAATATGTTTAAAATTGCACGTCAAGACAAAGGTGGAGAGAATGAGGGCCCCGGCAGCTTCTGGAGGTGGTTACTGGGATGCTGGAGATGAAAGCTGCTGTGGAACAATCCTTTATGTACACCGTGACTATGTATTACTCTCATTTCTTTAACAAAGAGCTGACTGGCCAACAGCTAGACAGGAAGAGATAAGGAGAGCCAAATTGAGAAGATGCTGGGAAGAAGGGTGAGGACGAGTCTCCAACCAGACGCACAGGAAGCAGGACATGTACAAAATGAGGTAACGAGTCATGAGCCGCCGCGTGGCAACAAGTAAATAGAAATGGGTTAATTTAAGTTATAAGAGCTAGTAAAAAACAAGTCTAAGCTATCGGCTGAGCATTTATAATTAATAATAAATCTGTGTGGCTGCTTGGGACAGAGCTGACCAGCGGTCCCAACTAAAATACTCCACCTACAGAAATACACTGGCTGGGACCAACATCAGAATAGGTCAGTGATTTAGAAGACTCAGGAGAAACTATCTAAACCCAAATACAGAGAAAACTATCAGAATCCAAATACAGAGACAACTAGCTAAACCTAAATACAGAGGGGGAAAAAAAGATCTAAAAGCCACAATACAGCAGTGAGCAGCAGGGCAACTTGCAGGAGGCCAGCAAGTGACCAGACCTGAAAAGAACCTGGAGACACAGGGGCCACGCTTCTCTCAAGCCAACCCAGCTAGGCTGTACAGTGAAGAAGCTACAGCAGCAAAAGTCAGAAACAGAAGAAAATTATGAAAAACTGAGGTAAAAATAATAATCATAAGGTTTATAGGCAACCAAAAAAATGTTTAAGAATAGTACAAAAGCCAAGTGCGCTGGCTAGTTTCATCAACCTGACACAAGCTAAAGTTACCTGAGAGGAGGGAGCCTCAAATAAGATTGTGCTGTAAGCAAGCCTGTAGGGATTTTCTTAATTAGTGACTGATAGGGGAGGGCCCAACCCATGCTGGGTGGTGCCAGCGGTCCTGGGTTCTATAAGAAGGTGGACGAAGCAAGTTGTAAGAAATAAGCCAGTAAGCAGCTCGCCTCCATGGCCTCTGCATCAGCTCCTTCCCTGTTTGAGTTCCTGTCCTGACTTCCTTCAATGATGCACTATGATCTGGAAGTTTAAGGCAAATAAACCCTTTCCTTCCCAACTTACTTTTGGTCATGGTGTTTCACTGCAGTAACAGAAACTCCAACTAAGACACTAAGGAGAAATGTTCTATACTATGGATAGCCTCTTACACAATGCATGAAGCAAAGTCTTCTGGCTGGAGGGTAAACTGTGATCAACAGTATAACATGAGCCCCAAAGCAACCACACCCACCCTTAGCAAAGACAGAACTGAATGAGAGCTGTGATTTCATAAAGCGTACATGGTGTACACACTCCAACTAAAAGATAACTTCATGTTATCAAGTACACACTGCTTATGGGAGAGAATGCACGCGTTAAAGCACAGACTGGAAACAAAGACTGGGAAAAGAACAACCAGGTGGTAACAAACAGCCTCAATTTGACAATTTCTAACAACCGATGAGATGAATTCTGATGTGGAAAGAGAACCAAAAAGTTTTATAAAAGCATCAGACGGTAGATAAAATTAATAATGCTTTGGAGAACAAATGTATTTAAGAGATAGCTACATAACAAATATTCATGAATAGAATATGTTTGAGAAGGGAAGAAGAGGAAGGATGCAGAGGTCATGAGGCAGCAGAAGGTTGAGTCAGGTGTAGATTAGAAGAAAGGATATGCAATAGGTAGGGTTTTAGTTGAGGGGGTGGTAGGGGAAGAAGGGAGGGAGAAGGGAACTGGGATTGTCATGTAATTCAATCTTATTTCTAATTCAAAGAAAATAAAAAGAATATGTTTGAGAGAGAGAACAGTCAATGAGAAAAGCTTGAACTCTGGTGGCTGGGATTATTTTAGTAACTACTGATGCTCTAAGACAAATGAATTTTCCACATGTCTATGAGGAAGAATCAACTTCCTGTTTTGGGACTTTCTCTGCTCTCTATGGTCTTGGCTTTGTACTTGTGGAAAAGGACTGCCCTTGGGTGCTGAAAATACAACAGACTATTTAAAAGTGGCTACAAATGCTGTTCTGTTTTAAGAACCTTTGGAACAATAATTTGGCCTTCTAAAACCACCTTTAAAATCCTTAGACGGCCTACTAGAACAATGACCATGGATAACATCAAAAGCTCCCAAGTTTAGTGAACACTGACGGTTCTGTGGCTCGGCTCCAGCCTCTTTTTATATGACACCCTCAGTCATGCACTGCAAGAGGCCCATCAGAAAGCAGAGTCCACAGGGCTGTGTGCTGGGCACCTGGCAGTGGCCCTCAGCTCACCCTGTGCCGGCTGCCTTGGCAGACCGCAGTCACATCCTGTCTAGCACAAGAACTGCTGTGGAAAAAGCATCTGTCACTGCCCTTGGTAACAGCCTTGGCTAGGCATTTCTTGGCCAAGCACTCAAAGAGGAAAGGTAGTAAGGTTACAAAAACAAGTTTCCACTCTACACAAGGGCTAAAAGTGAAGCAGTAAGACAGAAGACTCACAGGCCTGCCGCAGGACAAGGTCAGCAATACCTGACTGTGGTGGAAGCACAGACTGCTGGGGCCCCCCCCCCCCCCCACCACACATCCACACATGCACCCATGTGAAAAATAATAATAATAATAAAGGTAGAAGACAGATGCAGAAGTTTTTTTTTTTTCTGTGTGTCTTAAAGTTTTAACTTTCTATCATTTAAATTTTAAAATTTGAATGCATTATCCAACATTAAAAATAATTAAATTCTCAATTCTGGGGAAAAAGGAACAATATTACCCCTTGTTCTTCCAATTAATTATAGCTAAGGAGCTTGAACATAACATTAAATAAACCCATGGACAGGCAAGATGACTGGAAGATAAAGGTGTTTGCTGCGAGGCCTGGCAACCTCAATTGGATGACTGGGACTCATCCTTAGTGTTGTCCTCTGACCTCCACGTGTGCTGTGGCAGGTGTTCAAAACATCCTATACAAAATAACAAGGACTAATTAACAAACCAAAGCCTATCATGACTGAAAGGGCTCTAGGCCCAAGGAATGACAAGGCAGACTGTGCCCCGATGGTCCAGATTTGGTGCTGAAGAAACCAGCCACATATTCAAAACAAACAAAACCCTAAAAGAGTGGTTTTCTGACGGAGGACTAACCTGGGAGCCATGACAACAATTAACAGCAATATGACTGCAGAAGGCTGGCACACTCACCTGGCCTGGTCAATTCCCCAAAGAGATGGAGAAGAAAGCAGGGGTCATAGAGGCTGGCGGGAGGAGATAACTGACTCACTTAAGTTGTCCTCTGACCTCTCCACATGTGCATTGAGGCACATGTGTGTGGTGGCCCCCCCCCCCCCCCCCCCGCCACACACACAGTCAGAGCACACAAAGCCTAAGCAGTTCTATAAAAAGCAGAGCTTTCACATGATAATATGATTTTTGAGACTTGCTTCAAGAGAAGCTTGTGAGGCATAATAAATAAAACAGTGGGACCAGTGGGACCCAGCTTCAGTATGGACACTGGGGGTCCAGTCTATAACTCTGTACAAAGTTGGAATGGCAAGGGGGAGGGCAGAAGAGCAAGAGCACACCTCAGGGGGCAGCAGCCTCCGGGCCTGTGGGAAATGCAGAATGGTCCTCATCACACGGTCAGGGTCCAGCAGGCGGAGGATGTCCCCAACGCTTGGCTGCTGCCAGAGTGACTTTCCTAGGCTTCGGCATGTCTTGTGATGTTCCACAGCTGCTGGGCCCCATAGCAGAACCCTACAGCCAGAGAGGAATGCAGACTGGTCACAGGACCCACCAGGAACAGAACTGATGACAGCAACCCCAACATCAAGACCCTAGCTCACGTCGAGTGCCACTCTGGGTAAGTATGCATGCTCTACCACTTAGTAATCCTCACGACAGCTTCTGAAATCAGCATGGTGATGGCAGCAGAAGTCAGCACCCACATACTACTCTTGGTGTATCTGGCCAGACCCTGAGCCTTTTGCATGCATTAATTCACTTAACCTGTGTAATGATCGTACATTGCCACCTCCTGTGCAATGGGAAAGAGGCACTGAAAGGGCTGGGAAGTTGTAAAGCCACTTACTTGCCGACTGCTGAGTAGCAGAGCAGGGATTCTACATGACGGGGTGTGGCACTAAGCCAAGCGTAGTACCTATAGGATCCTGACCTCAAGAGGGACCAACTCATCAGGACTGTCATACAAATCTTTAGTCAGCCCTGCCTGGAGAACCCACCCTGTGAAGCCTGGTAATTTCCTGCAGCTGCCCATAGAGGCTCAGAGACATGGCAAGTACATGGGTGGGCAAGTACTATGGTTCCGGCCAACACTTATGTGGAGGCTTTGTCGTTGACCTCCAAAAGTGTGCACTGTGGCAAGAACATGCTACACATATGCATACATTTATACAAAACAAGGAATACAGTATTAATAATAGTTTAAAACAACAACAACAACAAGGAATGAGACGTCTCGAATCTAGAGCTCCCTGGAGGGGGACTTTGTCCCTGGGCCTAACGTTCCCATTGTCCTTTGTTCACCTGGCCAAGCTAGCACTCACCTGAAGCTGATGAGACTAAGGTTGTTCTGTTCATATGCCCGAAGGAGAAGTAAAATCTTCTGGTCTAGAAGGCAAATGAAGGCCACTTTTAGGAAACTGAACCCCTCAAATGCACGAGAGGGTACAGCCTACCAGCCTAGCCCACATAGCCTGACCATCAGGTCCTCCTCACCCAAGACACTGAGGGTGGCACTGTAGGTCCCAAGGAGCACAGCAAAGTGGCTGCTCTCACAGACCGAAGGGCACATCTTCACCACTGTGGACATCAGGTCCACCAGGGTCTCTGGAAGAAACAACAAAGGACGTAAGCACCAAGGGGACATTCTCGGGAAAGTAAGGAAGGCGCACCACAGTGGGCCCTGAAAGCGGGCCTGTGGGCCCCCCACCCAGCCTCTTCACCGGACCCCACTTTTGCATTCTTATAATAACACAACCTCCAGAATTACCATCTCTCTACGGCTTCACAGGGCTTGAGTTCAGGATCTATACACCCTTTTCCAACAAACTTTTAAAAGCCTAGGATTTTAAAACCTAAGCAGAATCCCCAGTTATGCTATCATAATCTCCAGCATGCAAACTCCTGCCTGCCTAGGGTGTGGAGCCCACTCTACTTTTTAATTACCTGTACCAATAATTGGCATCTAACAGTTTTCTGTCTTTAACCTAGCTGTTGATGGCAGACAGACCCGGTGCTGATGCCTAACGGTCTGGAGGGATGGCTTTGTCTCTGAACAGTGTTGCTTTCAGTGTACAGGAACACTCAGACTGTGTTCGGATATTCACAGCAGTCTACACTGCACTGAGGACTTGTGAGCACAAAACCCATGCTGACTAAGTTGAAGACAGAGCAAGCCTGGCTGGAAAAGACAGCAGTGGGCTGCCACCAAGGAAGTTCCAGCCCTTCCTTCCTGCTGTCACTCAGTCTTCCCTATGAGATTTATGAGCTTAACCCACTCCTCTCAGGCAAACTTGTCTTCCCATCCCTCCCAACTTCTCCTAATTCCCAGACTTTCAACACCAGCTCATGACAGGTCCACATGGGCCTCCACAGAACCACAATAAACCAAACAAAGGCTTCAAAACCAGTGGCAACTGCTGTGTCACTTTTAAAATAGAGGAGCATGCCTGGGCCCTAGATTTGATAGACAAAGATCCCAGGACTACGCTCTGAAAACAAATGGTGCCTGACTAGCTGGAAGACAGCAGGGGCCACTGAGATGGGAGGGCAGAGTGTGGGGCCACCTTTTACTTGACTGTCCACATTTTCCACTTCTTCAGATGTCAGCATGGTTGGCAAAAACAGAGAATGCTGGGTGAGCATCATGTGTACCACTGGAAGCTGGACAAGTTTTGTGTGCACAGAGTTTTCTGGACGATACAGGAGCTTCATGGCACCAAGCAGAGTCTTCAAAAAGGTGAGGTCCTGGTACCGAAATCTGGAAAGACAAGCCAAAGGAAAAAGTGCCATAAAGTCCATAAAGGACTGTGTATACATTCATTTTCAGTGACATGGCTTCCTGTCTGTTTAACAATCACAGGCCTGTCTGTCTACCATGACAGGAATGGCAGAAGATTATTCTAAGGCGTGGGACATTTGTTTAACTCTGTGAAGCTGGGATTCTTTGTCTAAAACACCCGATGGTCTAGCAAGGAGCTCAACAGCCAATAGCAAAACAGGAGCAAGGGTAGGTGGGGCTGGCATGGCCGAGGATAAATAAAAGGAGAACCAAGAAAGATGAAAAGCAATGAGAGAAGCCGGGAATTGGTGGCACACGCCTTTAATCCCAGCACTCGGGAGGCAGAGGCAGGTGGATCTCTGTGAGTTCGAGGCCAGCCTGGTCTACAGAGCGAGTGCCAGGATAGGCTCCAAAGCTACACAGAGAAACCCTGCGAAACCAGAAAGAAAGATAAAAGCCCAGAGGGAAAAGGTAAACAGAATAATTTAAAAGTAAAAAAAGCTGGCAAGAAACAAGCCAAGCTAAGGCTGGACATTCCTAACTCAGACTAAGCCTCAGTGTATGATTTATCTGGGAGGTGAGTGGTGGGCTCCTCAAAAGAAGCCAAAAGAGTAAAACATCACACAACAACAGGGATCACTAACCTACATCATGAGGGAATTCTGTCATGATACAGATATCACAGAATGGCCCGACACAGACTAAGACAGCTACATCACTAGCTCCATAACCACATGAGGGACCACCATCACATATAGGGTGATCTTTGACCAAGCCAACTTATGTGGCATGTGGCTCAATTTTCTCTGTAGCACAGACATCAAAAAGAACTTTCTGTTTAGATGAATCAGCAGGTGAAGAACCGAGCATGGGGATGGCACTATGCAGTGGACCATACTAAGTCAGCCTCCCTTGTTCCTTTAGCCATTTGAAGTACACCAAGCTATGTCTAAAATCCCTTCAAAACCTACTAAAGGGAAAGATCTATGAAAAATTCTTGTAGCCCTCTCTATGTGAACATTAGGATGTCCCTATACTTATCAGGAAGAAAACAGGAAGTTCTGTGCTGCATCAGTTCCCCTGGATACACTGAGGAAAAGCTTTGAAACAAAAGAGTTATGGTGGTGCATACCTGTAATCCTAGCACTTGGAAAAAGGGTTCAGAGTTGGAGGGAGCTCGGGCTAAATAGTGAGACTCTGTCTCAAAAGAGCAGGGCAGGGAGAGAGGGGAGAAGAGGGAGAGAGAGGGAAAGAGAGGGAAAGAGAGAGAGAAGAAAGAGGAGGAGGAGAAGGTGAAGACAATGATGATGAGGGGGCTGGCTGGAGAGTGGAGATGGCTCAGTAATTAAAGCACTGGCTGCTCTTCCAGAGGACCTGGGTTTAATTCCCAGCAACCACATGGCAGCTCACAACCATCTATAATAGAATCCAATGCTTTCCTCTGGCAAGCAGAGGAACACACAGACAGAGCACTCTGTATATATACAGACATATATACATACAGACAGACAGACATACAAAGAAGGAAGAACAAATACTGATGGCAGTATGGAAACTGGACCATCCTTCACTTCTTCTGCATGACACTGCCTCTGGTGTTACGTCACAAATGGTCAGGAAATGAAGATTATAGGCACCATACATCACTTCATGATTCTCTGAACACCCAAAGTAAAGCGTCTGACCAGAGCAAATGTGAGGTCACATTAACTCTCCCACATCCCCTGCTAGGAACAAACCTCTCTCAAAGTGTGTGGATATAACAGTGAGCAGGTCCTCCACCAGCTCTACATGTAAAATGGGTATCACTATGCACCCACTGACATGTGGGAGTCATTGCAGGGGTCATAAGGGTGGAGAGGGCACAGAGAATAGCCTAGACATCACCAGCAGGGAACCACTGCACAATGTAAAGATGGAACTTTTGATCTGTATGTTTTAAATTAGAAACATGAGTAAAAAGAAAAGCAAAGAGTGATATGAATGTTCAAAACAGCAAACACACGCAACAATATACTGTACTGTATATAATATACTTTGCCACATAAAGGGGCTGGGGGCTATAGCTCAGTGGTATAAAGCAAACAAAACCACTAGCTAAGCAGAGCCTTGGAAGACAATTGTGCATGCGGTGGGTGAGAGGCAACACAGAATTGATTAGGACTAATAGAGAAAACTGTGACACTCATCATGTCTGAGTGCAGCTATTGTCTCTGCATTTCATTCTTACTGTGTGTGTGTGTGTGTGTGTGTGTGTGTGTGTGTGTGTGTGTGTGTGATCCTGGGCCAGAACCAAACTCAGCTTGTCTGGCTTGGCAGCAAGCACCTTTATCCACTGAGCCATCTCAGCAGACTGCTTTGGTTTCTTGAGATAAAGTCTCATAAAGCCCAGGCTGGTCTTGAACCTGGATGACTGCAAAATTCCTCCCAAGTGCTGCATTTCAGACATGTAATATCTCATTGTTCCCACCTTTGTGTTTTTGAGATGTTTTTCTTCTCTACAGACAAGGCTGACAGCTGTGCTGTGACCAGTACTCCAATGACGAGCTAACCATACGTGCATGGCTGGGACACCCCACACCTTTTTAAGTAGCACCACGAAGATCAAATCAACTTACTTGAGTCCTGTCTTCACAAACTGCTGCCAGTCACCAGGGTCAACATCTTTAAGTGCATGCTAGAAAAAAGCAAGCAAAACGCACAAGAAACCTGTTAGCGAGCAGAACACACCGAGGCTCCAGGGTGCAGTCTTCAGGGAACAGTTGAATCAGTTCCAGTCTTCTCACTAACTTCCTGAATCAGGGTTACAAAAGGCTCTGCTATGCTACTAAGTCCGCCAGTCTACCCTGCAGCTACTCCAGCCACCGACTGCTATTCCTGCTGACACTAAGTGGGAAGAGAGACAGCACAGTGATCTTTCAACAAAGACTAACATGCAGATTTTGGATTTGCAGCAAATATAAACAAAGTACCCAAACCATACAGGGCTTTGTTTGAGACAGGGTCTCATGGAGCTAGCCTTGAACTAACTTTGGATAACCTTGAACTTCTAATCATCCTGCCCTACTTCTTGAGTGCTAGGATAACAGGTATGAGCTACCATGCTTTTATTCAGTGTTGGTGATGGAACCCAAGGTTTTGTGCATGCTGAGCAAGAGCTCAGTCAACTAGGCCACAATCCCTTGGGTTGTAGGACATTTTACTAGCACACCCATGAACACCAAACATGCAAAGGGACATTTCCCAGGTGGTCGTGTTATGTTTCCTTCCCTACCTTTTCAGACAGCATTGATGGATTTGCAATTAGCCTTTCACTGAGGAACCAGTGGAAAATACTCACTCTCACCCAACCCAGGAAAACAGGGTACAAAGGCAAGAGGTCTGTGGAACATGAAGCTCAATGCTGGCCCTGAGGCAACAGTTAAGTCAAGTTCACTTATGTCAGTTCCTCCACCAAGGTCAGCCAGGCATGGAGACTGAAGTGCCAAAGACTTGAAGACTCCCAGGGAGTCTCTTAGTTCCTCCACTAAGGACATCTCTGACTCACCACAGTCTTAAACCCTGTCTCCCTACCCCAGCAATTGCTCTTTCAGGGATTCACCTGGTTATAACTCATCAAATGTACAAGGGGACTGCGGTAGTCAGGGTTGACCTTAACAGGATACAGAATAATCTAGAAGATTTATTCTCTGGGCATGTCAGAGGTTCAATTCAGCGTTATCTCAATTACATGTACTCTGAGATATAACATCTCTAGGATATTCACCTAACGTGGTAGAACGGCCTCTCCATGTTTTCCTGTTTTTACATTGCTGGTTTCCTGGTGCTGGTGGAAGGGTACTGTGGATGGAGCGTGGGGACCTACAGGTGCTAAGTCAGCACTCTACCACTGAGCCATACCCCAGCTCCAATTTCTGTAGCTGGTATGTGTGAACCCTTTATGATCACAAAACCCAGTATATGTCCATTTTCATGGGACTGGCAGAAAGGGTGACAGACATCATACATGGAATACTACTGAGCAAACAAACCCTCACTTCTCACTGCCCTATCTGTAAAGAATCATTTAACTAACCCGCTGAAGTTAGACCATGTTTGGGTTCCTGTTACTTTAAATTCACAAATCTATGACACAACAAATTAAGTCTGAAAATACAGCTTGTAAGTTTCTTTATATATGGTATATATAATAAAATCTGATAAAATCCAACATCCACTCCTGATAAAAGATGGATGGTTTACAAATTCAGTAAATTCAGTGCCCTCCCACCCCTACTCTGCCTCTAGACATCGCTCCCTTCATTTCCTATGAGGCTTCATTTATGCACACAGCTAGAAATGGAGCTTTGAATCTCGCTTGTCTGGTTCCATGTCCCCTCAGCACACAATCAGGATCTATCTCTAAGGAGAGACACTTACCAATAACTCGCTTACTCGGAGCAGCATTGGCTTCTCTTGCTCCTGGATGTTTTCATCTCCTGGCTCCCTGTCACTGAAGGATACAACCAGCCACTGCATACAGGACCCCAGGAGGGTCTTCCTCCAGGCACTCAGCTCTTCTGCTGACTCTGCCAAGGCTGCTGAGACAGAGTCGGCCACGATCCAGCTGCAGCAGGAGACCAGGTGGCAGGGTTACACTGCTAAGGGCTGTCTACAAGGTACAGAGTCCCCCACACTACCCACTCTTGGGGCCACTCTTAACACCACATTGTCAGTGGGATCAGCACACCAGCGAAAGAACAGTCTCTCCAGACTCATTTTGTGTGTGCGCGCGCGCGCGCGCGCGCGCGCGTGTGTGTGTGTGTGTGAGAGAGAGAGAGAGAGAGAGAGAGAGAGAGAGAGAGAGAGAGAGAAAGGGAGAGAAAGGGAGAGAGAGAAAGAGAGAGAGAGATCCTCTAGGTATAGACTACTGGGCTGGAAGTTATTATCTTTTTTTTTAAAAACATAATTTCTTTACTGATTCTTTGGGAATTTCACATCATGCACCCTAATTCTGCTCATTTCCCAGGCCCCCCTATATCCTTCCCTCACCCCCTGCAGTGCCCCAAAAGAAAATTAAAAAAAAAACCAAAACCAAATAAACAAGTAAACAAACAAAAACAAAAACCCAATTTGCTTCTCCTTTTCTCCTGCCTCTCTAATTACCTCTTCGTTCATCCTGGTGGCAATGGTGCAGTGTATCACACATACACCCCTTTGTCTAATCAGTTTTACTAGCAAATGTTCAGTGCAATGAGTCACTGGTCTTCTCCAGATTCATTCTTAACTAGGGCGTCCCCCACCTCTATACTAGTGACATACAGGACCTGGTGTTTTCTTTGGAAGGCTATTCTATTACAGCATTTAGTGACACTCTGTCTCCTCTACCCTCTGGAGACACCACCTCACCCAAGTTAGACACTGCAAAACAACTTCTAGGGGAAGCCACTCTAGTAGAACACTGCTCTCAGGGCATCAGCCCCAGCCACCCACATGCAGAGATGCACCTCTCCAGCCATAAGGCTACTCTAGCCGGAACTGCGGTGGCGTCTACTGGCACAACAGGAAAACACTCTTCATTAACTTTCTTTATGCATACCAAAGAGAGGAGTGACATAAGGGAAAAACCACCAGGCATTGGTGGTGCACGCCTTTAATCCCAGCACTCGGCAGGCAGAGGCAGGCAGATCTCTGTGAGTTCGAGGCCAGCCTGGTCTAGGACAGTTCCAGGACAGGCTCCAAAGCTACACAGAGAAATCCTGTCTTGAAAAACAAAAACAAACAAAAAAGAAATAACAACAACAAAAAAAAAAGGGGAAAAATCATCCAATGACTTGGTTTGCATACCTCTTGTGACTACTCAGAGTCCGAAGCAAGCTGGGTAAATGGTCCATGAGAGCACGGAGGTCTTTGGTTCTTGCAAATGGAATGAGATGGGCCAGGGACTCCAGATGGAGCTCATATTTGGAGAGCCCATCAAGATGAACAAGCCTGTGTCGCACTTTTCTCCATAGGGCCTTCAAGACAGGAGTGACAGCAGAGCACACTAGACAGACACAAAGCAGAGGTCACTGTGCACAACGCAAGGCACCAATGGAGAAGTGGTGGCCTGTGGGAAACCTCCCTTTAGGAAGCACCTGTCACTCACACAGTACAAAGCAATAAGGGAATCACTTTTATGTTTACTATAAATGATCAAGCTGGAGGTGATTGGGGACAGACGAGGCTTAGCATGGGGATAACTGGACTCATACTGCTTGGACTCAGTATGAACTCACCAACCACTTCCCTGAGGAAAAGGACAGTGTAATGGGTCACAGGATGGCTTAGCCCTCAATCACAAACAGCCAGACCACTCCCAATTACTGCCCGCCCTAGCCTGCTCTTGTAATCAGGAATGGATAGGCACCTGGGGCTACACCTCAAGACAGGATATTGAGACGTTGAGCCTAAAGAGATTACAATAAGGAGTAGAACTGTACCATGCCCCAGAACTGACAGGGTTTAAGTTTAAGAAACTCCGAGCTCTTTCCATACCTCCTGTTGGCCTCGTGAAGCATCCTTGTGTCCTATGCTGGAGATACACATGGATAAGGGGGAGGAAGTCATCCAGGTGCTCCTGCAAGAGCCCCACACCAGGCTGCCCACACCATAGCTCAAACTTCAGTAGGTGGGTGCTGCTGTGTTGCAGAAGCAGGCTGGCAATACCCAGGGATGCCTTTGTCCGTCGGACTAGGCAGTACTCAAGTAGGTCAACTGGGACCACAGGGGCCAGCACAGGGTCTCTCTGCAGAGTCTGAAGGAACACAGCGTCCAGCTCATGCTCAGCCAGAGAGGGGAGCAGAGCCCCCAGGCCTCGAACATACTCGGCCCACCAGAGGAGCTCACTGCTCTGCAGCTGATCCTGGGGGCTGCTTGCCAGCAGCTGCACCAGGGTCTTCCCAAGACTGCTCAGTTGTTTTTCCTTTCCTGGAGACGGTGTGGCTGGCTGGGTCAGCAGGTGGGCCTCTGGTAGGCTCAGCAGGGCCAGGGTGACCTCTCGGATCTGGACACTTTCCATGTATGGATACAGCTCCCGCAGGGCCTCCAGCTGAGGCAGGGTCTTGGGTGTTGTGGCAGAGTTGACAGTCCTGGTGCGCAGCTCTCTCAACACACTTTGGGTGATGGCTTCTGAGTACTTTGCCAGGAGGCCCAAGTGACCCAGTTTATGGAGAATTGGGGAACATGCCACCAGCAGCTGAAGGACGCCTGCACTCAGGTGGGCCGCTAGGAGCTTCACAAGGACGGGGCTGAGTGTGTGTGGAGGCACGGCTTTCCGCTCCAGGGCTAGAAACCAGCTCTCCAGTGTGGGATGCTTAAGGACGGCCACCAGCACCTCCTCTACTGTCTGAAAAGCAAGGGCAGGGGCACACTTTATGTGTAACACAGCTCCCTGCAAGCATTTTGTGTTCTCAGGGAAATCTGCTCTATCTTAGCCCCAAGTTTGATGCCACTCTCAGACAAACTTGCAGCATCCTGCCACATACATGTGCTACAGAAGGCTCCCAGTCAGCACAGGACACAGCTACTTGACCCTCACCTTGACCCCCAGGGTATAGGTACAAATAAGAGCTGTTGGCTGACAAGGCTATAAAGGCGTGATTGGAAGGACAGAACCCATATTAAGCTGTTATCCCTGGGCAGGGTTACATCATCTCAGCCATAGTTTTCTACACTTCATATTCTCCTATAGTGAACACATTTTTAAACTCAGAAATGACAGCCAGTACCTGGAACTTGTGGACAAAGGACAACAGGCTGTGGTGGTGGTACCTTGTCAGTGGCCAACTCAAGTGAAGCAACACACTCCATGTCCAAAAAGAGATCAGACTCAGCACGGGCGGCCTCTGCCTTCTGCTGGTTCTGGGCATCCAGTTGCTCAGCGTGGACAACCAGGTGCTTAAGGAGATCCAGGAGGAGCTGCAGAAGGCTTGGGCCCACACTTTTGCCCAGCTGTAAGAGACACATGACAATTGGACAAAGAATGGCTGACAAGCCTGCAGAGTGCTGACTGCCTGGCCCTATGGAATCAGCAGGAGACTGGAGGGACAGGGTTTCCAGAGGCCTCTCACATGGGAGACTGTCTTCTCTAGGACTGTAAGGCAATCTCCTGTCACCATTCTTACCCAGATTAGCCAAGCTGTACATAAGAACACACTTGTACATATACTCACTATGTAGGGGAGCATGGGATAAAGAAGATTTGTCTTCCCAAACCTTAGTGAAATACAAATGTTAGCTATGGCTAAAATAAAGGGAATGATGGTTCGGCGGGTACCAAGTGTGAGGACCTGAGTTCAATCCCCAGAACCCACACCGTCAAAGGAGAAAGTCAATTCCTACACTCTGTTCTCTAGCCTCCACAGGCACACTCCCGCACGTGCACATAAATAAAACAAACACACACACACATGAACATAAGTAAATGAATAAATGTATTAAGTGTGATCTTTTTTTAATTAAGGGGAAGAAGTCAACAACAAAGCCTAAGAGCTACACAGCCCATGAGCAGAAAGTTCAACAGCAAGCTACTAGACTCACAAACCATGAAAAAGCAGGCCTGGCTATGCTGCTACCTACTAGGGACCTTGTCCTGAGAACACACACTGGCCCAGACAGATGAGCCAGTGCTGTCTCTGCACCACTGCTCGAGGAGAGGGGCCCAGCACAGGAGCAGCAGAGTCAAGAACCCAGGTTCCAGAGCTGGGGTCTGCCACGTGCTCTATCAGGATTTCTGTCTCTGCGTGACCACTGTGGTACCAACGAGGAGGAGGAGGAGGAGGAGGAGGAGGAGGAGGAGGAGGAGGAGGAGGAGGAGGAGGAGGAGGAAGAGGAGGAGGAGGAAGAGGAAGAGAGGCACTGACCTGGCTGAAGCTCTCCACAGTGCTCCTGAGGTACAGCAGCACCTGTGTGGCTGCGCGCAGTACCTGCTGCAGAGCTAGACACGGGACGGCAGCTAGCAGCTGTGTCTGAATGTTCTTGTCCCCAAGTGTGTGGCTCTCATAGGATGCTTGCAGCAGGGTGGAAAAGCAAGATGATGATGGCGGGACATGGGGTGCAGAGCTGTTGGGCACCTGCAGTGGCTGAGGGATCAAAAGGCACAGAATGGAAAACAAATTACCTCAGAAGCAAAAGTTGCACACACCGGTGACAACTGGGTAATGTGTAATGAAGGGCATTTCACACTAAACATTTGGTCCAGTGTAGCACCACATTCAAGGAAACCCAACCCCAATACTAACAGCCTAAGGTCCACCTGGAGCATGCCTGCCAACAGAGTGCAGAACACCTAGCACGCAGTATGAATGGACCTTTTCCTGAGGAGCTGACTGCCACAAAAAATGGGATTTGATCACTGCTGTTACCAGGACAAATCACTGGAAACTAGGATAAGTACCACCCAAAGCAAAGCCCTGCTGCAAGCTACCTGCGTACCCCGAGAATCTTGTCAAAAGGACTGGAAAATGGGTAGAAGGAAAGGAAGGATCCAGAGCAGTCCTGGTCCAAACAGAAATTATTCACATATAACCACCCACGGGACTTAGCAGATACTGAGCTCAAAGCCACTGTGTACGGATACTCAGTGGTTCTCAAAGCACGGGCTGAGGACCAGCATAGCAGCAGCATTCCTTGGGACAATATGACAAAGGCCGATCGATTCTCAAGATCCCAGTCCATACCCGCTAGCTGGGTCACACTATGGTCAGGGCCTGGCTGGCAGGCAGGTTTCAATAAGCACCATGAGGGTGAATCTGGCTGCGATCCACTCAACAGAGGATGGGCACCAACACTGGACCACAGAAGGAGCGGCTCTGAACTCAACTGCCTGCTGACTGGTGGGAGCCAGGCCTCTGTGCAGAGGAAGATACAATGATGTCTGGACATCAGCTCTGGAACAAGACTGATCAAATCCTCTATCTAGTGGTGGAAGTTCTCTGCACTGCAGGCTCCGAATGTGTATAAAAAGGTTATGAGAGTCTTGAGCACCTCTCAGAAGTGGTGGATCGAGTGGTTTAAAATACACATGGCACACATCAACATGGGTACCATCACAAGAAAAAAGGCCCTAGGTCACCTGCGCTCTTAAGCACAGCTGAAATGGAGTGAATCCAGACAAATCCCAGTTAGTTTACACACAGAGCATCACAGCAAGAATCCTCCCTCCATCACCCCAGTTACTCTCCCAGTTTTAGTGAGGAACTCATGGGATTATTGGGGGGAAGGTCTGCTAGCGGAGCACACTACGGTCTACAGAAGACAGCGAGACAACCACTCCCCCTCACTTGGTAAGGGAAAGGGAAAGAGGCCACTTCTTGTCCTAAGCTGAACAGCGATGAAGTTATCATCCTTAGGGAGCTACCACACTCACTGAGCTGAGCGGGAAGGGGGCACGCCTCTTAAGCAGAGGCAATGGGAAGGTTAAGCTCTCACTCTGAACTGTACAGCATCTGAACCACACAGCTGCACATCCAGCTATAGCATCAAGAAGAAACACCGGGGAGGAACAGTGAGTGCAGCTCACCAAGACCTCCTGGGCCTGCTCAGGAATCCAGAGGCTGTAGTATCTGTGAAACTGGGCAAGCTGCTGACAGCAGAGCAGGTTGGCAGGCTCAAACTTGTCATAAGACTGGAGCATAAGACACAGAGCTAGGGGGTCCCTCTGGGTATGGAGAAGGTCAGTCAGCACCGCAATCAGATACGCCATGATGCTTTCCCCTGCAAAAGAATTGGTGGGCAGGGTTAGGGAATAGATGGCTTCTATGACATACTGACACAGACACACCACCTTCCACATAGACATCAGATTCAGGAAAACTGAATGCCAGCTCCACGAAGGATCAGATGCCCACATGGGAAGGTGCAGGCTCCTACAGTGTCCCTGGCTCCAGTTCAATAGAGAGAGAGCACATGGTCTGACATCAGGATCTCAGGCCTGCAAGTGGAGATTCAGGCATACGTATAGCTCAACCAAAGCCACCTGGGCCCAGGACTGGTGGCTCTCCTGTCCCATCCTCTGCCTTGACACACAGGTAAGGTGGGAACAAATGCCACCCAGGCAACTCTCCAGGTGCAGCACCCCCCACTTTATCAGGTACTCTGGGATGACCAGCATCACCTTCCCCAGCAATCCTAGATACCATGCTCTCAGATGGCATATCTATAAGATGAGAACAGCCTATATCCCTGGGTCACCTCCTGAAAGACAGCCACCAGGAGAGTCACCTGGCCTGTACTGGCCTATGACAAGGTCAGGAAACAGAGTTTTACTCTCAAGCCATTGCCCTGGGGGGCTCATGTGTTATGGTAAAGGCTCGGTACTCCGGACTCCTATCATCTGTGAGTGCTCTCAGGACTAAGCACAACAAATGGTCAAGATTCATCCCTATCCTGAAAGCAGGACTGAGTAGCCCCAAGGAATCCTTGGAGTAGCAGCTGTTTCCATGGAGCCATGTGAGCACACTCTTCCAGACTCGTCCTCCAAGGACGGCTTCCCCAGCAGCCATGGCACCTGCACATCCATCCATGGGCTCTGAGCTCCAGGCTGAGGGTCCATCACTCTGGGGAATCTGACTGTTGTTGGCTCTTCATACTTTTAGCCCCTGGTACCCCAACCCCAGCCTCCCTAGATACCTCGACTATACATAGGCACCTGCTTTACTTTCTGTCCCAAGGAGCAGCTTATTCCTGGCTTCCAGAGCTGCAGGGACCAGAGCACTGAAGGGGAAGGTGAGCAGAATCATGTCTTCATTTAACAAGAATCCGATGTCCTCATCCAGGCCCTCGCTGCCTTCCACTAGGACATCCACCATGTCCAGCACATCTGAGACGCAAGAGGAGAGGGGAGTTTATGAAGGAGCCACCACAAGATCCCACTGTAAACAGCCCAAGACAGGAAGAGGCAAGAGAATAGTTACAAAAAGAAAAAAACAAAAGTTTTCAAACTCTTCTCAGGGGAAAACGCTTCCTAGGGCTTCACAGATGAAGATGCTGCCTGCAAGTTTTTAAGGCATTTGACTAGTACAGGTACCCAGCTAAGGCAGTAACTGAAGCCCAGGATCATTAATTACCTCAGATGTTCAGACAAGCGAGCTGACACTTGAGAGGGCCACAGCACAGACCAGCACTTAGGAATTTAGGTTCAAATCTTGAAGTAGCTAGGAAGTAACTGTGAGAGCCAAAGTGACTTGGCCTCTCTGCCCCCAGGTCTTTTAACTACACATAAAAGGAGGACAGCAATACACTCCTCACTTTAGAGCCGTTATGAGGTTTTCGTGAGATCTATAAAGAGCTTAACAGTGCCAGTACACAGTAGACAACACACAAACGGAAACGCCCAGGAGGTAAGTTCTCTATACACAGCACAGTGTAAGGATCATCTCTCACACAGGGAAGTGGGCTGTCTGCACTCTGCCCAAAGCCTCACATCTTGTCCTGTCTAACTGGATACTGTAGCTTGACACTGAGCACAGGGAGACTCTGGGCACGGCACCTACCATCGATGTGGGAGATAGGAATGCTGGCATCATCTGTGTCTTGCTTCCCCACGGCGGCCTGCAGGGTGCTGGCTTCCTGAACAAACTCAGAAGCCTTGTCCGTGTACGAGTAAGGACTTACCACCAGTGTCAGTAAAATCTGAACATAAAAGAGGCGGGTGAAGACAATCAAATGGTGACAAAGAGAAAAAAGCCCAAAATGTCCTTGACCAAAACTAAGGGAAAGAAGAAAATGTTAAGTGCCCTTATTAAGAATAGTAATATAACACCGGGCATTGGCGGCACACACCTTTAATCCCAGCACTTGGGAGGCAGAGGCAGGCGGATCTCTGTGAGTTCCAGGCCAGCCTGGTCTCCAGGATAGGCTCCAAAGCTACACAGAGAAACCCTGTCTCAAAAAACAAAAAAAACCCACCAAAAAGCAAACAAACAAAAAAGAATAATAATATAATTTTACTGAAAAGATTTTTAAAGCTTTTTGTTTTACACTTTTATTCTACTGCTTTGAACTTGACTTTTTGGATAGCCTTAGTCCTTCACAAAACAAACGTCCCAAATGAGATCAAGAAGCATGCAGTAGTATACCGCTATTTCAGATGCTAACACTGAGTGGGCTCTCAGTGTCAGCAAGATTGAGAAGTGAGGCACAGCAGGAGCCTTCTGGCATGAGTGCACCACGAAAGCCTCACTGTAACCGAGCCACTGCCCCAGAGCACACACACTCTGTTCCATGGAGCTAAGCACTCACCCGCTCCAGGAACTGGATAACAGTTTCCTTGTGCTCTTCTGCAGTGCAATCCAGGTGCTCCAGCCACAGCTCCAACTCTTTCCACGTGTGTTCGAACACACCTGTGTCCCGAAGAATCTGTTGGCAGCAAAGCCATGCAAATGTCAGAACAAACCTGCTTTCTGTGCAGTTGCAATTTTCACACCAATGTGCTGGACTTCAGAGGGCTGCGTGCGGCACACTCAGGTGTACTCTACAAGCTGTTCTCCTAGGGTGAGCTGCCACTGCTGAGGACACCGGGCAAAGAGAGCACTCCACACCCTATTGGGGACAACATGGTTCCTTTCTCACTGCTGTATAATGCCCTTCCATTCCTCAGCCTGTGATAAGGAGAATGGACCAGGTGGTTCTTAGGGAACTGGTTTATTATCTGGATTTTCCCAAAGAGCAGTTAAGTATGTGTAATGACCCCTCACAGTGTCTCAACCCTTAGCCTGAGGGAACTCCAAGCCCAGGCAAGGATACCATTCCTAACAGGGTAGAGCTTGGTGTAAGGCAAGATCTCAATTTGCCAAATAAACAATTACCCTAATGGCTAGCTGCTGCAGGAGACTCGGGCTAAGTGCTCTTGTGGTACAGGGCCCTGCACCAGTGTGCACCAAACTCCCGGTGACTGTCAATTCCACCCTGCAGTTATTGGTCATGACACCTGGCTGGGGTGGAGTTCACAGCTAAATGGTCGGTAGGAAAACCGAAGTGTGGTGAGGGGCAGGGACTCAAACAGGGTGGTCTTCAAGCAGCTCAGACAAGAAGCTCAAAATGCAGCAAAACCATCGGCCTTTCAAAGAAAACTGCAAAGTAACATCCGGGCTAACTGACCCCCACTGTTAGCACTTCTGAGACATGGTGGAAATCTGGCCTCAAACCCATGGAGTCTGACTACAGGTGTGTGTTATGGTGACTGGCTGGTAAACTGACTCTGGGAGAGTGCCATTGCAAGAAAAAAGGGAAGAGAGCCAAGTCCTCACTCCTGCACACTGACTTTGGAGACACCAGAATTGTACATGATGGGCAAGGTCAAGAAGTGGACAGGCCCAGAGAAGGTCCAGTGTGAGAGTGAGGGACAAGGCACAGCTGAGACAGTTTCCATGCGAACAGAGTATGTGTAGAGCCCATACTGTGCGAGCTGTGACTGACTGACTGCTTCATACTTCATCTTTCTGGTGCATACATACACACACACACACAATAGAAACATAGTAATAAAATAAATAAAAGCCTTCAAGTCTACTGTACTCCACAACATTCTCAATCACCCACCATAAGGAAAGCTGTGTACGTACTTGTCAGATGAGAAAGATTACAAGATACTAACCTTAATAATCAGAAGTTTAGTGGATGACTTGAGCTGTAAATGGCTACTATTCACAAACATCTTCATCAATAGGTAAAAAACCGAGCGTTCTCCTCCAATGATTTCTGCATCGGGGCCTTCCTAAGTTTGGACATTATCTCAGACTGTTAAGATGCACCATTAACAGGGGCCACTACTTGCTGAGCAAACCTGTGACTACATGCCCAGGACAGAACAAAGGAGATGTGCTTTATTTTCAAATGTGTTAACTGACAAGAACCACATGTGAAAGGATGGAGGGAAAAGCCAGCCCAGCCAATGGGTAGCAGAAGACTAGAAACTCCACTGCCTACCTGTGCCTTTAGCCACATAAACTTGTTAGCAGGCAGTTCCAGGGCCACCTTGAGCATGTGGTGCTGCAAAATGGGAGGGACCTGCTCGGGAAGAGGGCCCTGCTCAGAGACGATGCCTGCAGACAGAGGTCGGGAAAGCACGGTCACCCAGAGCTGACACTCTGACCCAGAGGAGAAAAACAAGGGCATAGTCTGCTCTCTCTCTGTGTTCCATGCGCGAGGGCCATGTGTTCCTGCGAGGGCCCAGGCTGTGAGAAACATCCCACCCGACGCTGAGTCAAATTCTTTTAACAGAAGTTCAAATTCTACATGCCTAAAACATCCCTTGTCTGGCCCTCAGCCAATTCCTACCTATCCTACAACTGGAGTCACCACACCGCACCACACTGCCTCCAAGTGTGGTTACAACACCCATGGTTTACTCCATGCAGGGCATGGGCCCTATCTATCATCCAGGCAGTAAGTATTTTGTGGAGACTATGACCACTGGGCCTGAGCCTGGACCCTGGTCTCTTGATTCCTCCCTTGCTTGGGAAGGATGTAGTTGCCAACCAAGTCTATGTGGCCACATCTCTGTAAGTTTCATATTCTCATGGGAAAGACGACTTTTCACTCTTGATAATGAAAACGCTAATTACAAGTGTCAAAAATATCATTTCAATAACATAAATTCCAAGAATGGCATTTTTACAAGTCATCTTCTGTAGGCCCAATCATAAAGTCAATTTTATCAGGCAAACGAGACCATCAAGGACCCACGTGCAGACAAGCATGATGACACTCTTATACAAGGTGGTCTGAACCTCAGTGAGGTAAATCATGAGGTAACTACACCCAATGTGCCTCTGCACAAACAGGGTGGTATGTCCCCTCTACAGGGATCTCCTTTCTGCTGCCCACGCACCCCTGCCTGGGAGTAAGCATCTCTTGGGGATAGCCCTGAGCAGCTCACTCAGGTTGCTTTGCTTTCCCTTGTCTACGCTCACAGCTATCCTAAGGGCTCACTTAATGTGTGCTTAAGGGGACCCAGCATCAATAGAAATAGTGTACAAATAAGTAATGGTGGTGGATCACATGGGCTGGTAAACTGCCCACCACACCTTCCCAAGTCTCAGTTCCTAGACTCTGCTCTAGTTCACTGGAGTGTCCTTTATCTCCACTCCACAGAGGCAGCCTGCCTGCAGTCCCTTAAGACCCACCTTTTAGGAGTTTGCTGAAGTCAAAGTTGTACTGCATGACCATGTGGGGAACAACCTGTTGGTAGAGGCATATGACCTGGAGCAGAGCAGCTTTCAGAAGAATAGTTTCGGCATCGTCTGCATCAAAGGGAAACAGCTTATGTCAGGACAAATACTCCCTCTTTGTCCCTGATCAAGTGAACATTCATGCTATATGCCCTAGCCAACCGCATGCTAACACTCAGGCTACAGAAAGTGCAGTAACTAGATTTAAGGACCAATGTGGTCACAGCGTTGATAATGTTCCACAAGCCCACTTCACTGCTGCAGCCTGGTCAGGTCAAGGCTGCCGTCTCTGGGCTTTCCTGTCCTCATCTGAACGATACACAGCAAGCACTGCCCTGTGACGCTGCTATAAGAACCAATTAAGATGTAAATAAGGAAAAACCACACCTGCCAACACCAAATTGTAACACAAGAGTGGCTCATAGCTGACCACTCTGAACAGCACCAGAGGCCTCCTTACCCATTCTCACAGCACCAGTGGTCAAGTCTTCAGAGACATGGTACTGACATAAAGACTCAATGTATTTCTAACAGATACAATTCAATCCACAATTCCACCTAATGCTTCCCCTAAACAAAAAAGGGGACCAAATCTCTTCATAGCCAGAGGGGACTTGACACAGAACTACTTGAGGGTCCTCTTAGGAGCCACCCCCGGCCAAGAGCAGAAGTAGCTGAAGCTCTCACCATGCTGGGCAGCCTTAGAGGCAGCAGAAGTCTTGCTATTGCTCTTCTTCCCTTTCCCATGGTCCTGCTGGATCTCTTGTTTTTTAAATGACTGCCAGACCCAAATAACCGTGTTGAGATCTGGCAAAATCTAAGTGAGAAAGAGAAGTGAAGAGTAAAAACCAGTCACTTGAAACACGGAAAGAAATCATTGCACTGAATGCACTAACAGGGAAAAAGCAAACCACAGCCAGGGAGGGAGGAGGCGCCAACGTGTATGATGCAAGTGTGGTGTACCCAAGCTCGAGGGTGGACGAGAGCAGGTTCATGCCTGGAAGCTTGCTTCTGCAGTGTATCCTACAACTGCACTCACTCTTCCACCCAGACTAGACAGTGGAGAACTCTTGCTGGGAACAGCTCTAGTAAGTGGCCAAGCTGCTATCACCTGGGTGCTCTGCCCTGCAGGGCAGTGGGTACAAGTCATACTTTACTAGCAGAATTAGCCATGGGGGAAAGCAGGGTCCCTCCACCCACCTTCTGTTCACTTTTTACTCAAGCCACAGTACCGCCAGTATGCGTGCACTTACAGGCAGGGGGAAGAGGCATGGTGCAGCCACAAAAGAGCCACAGGTCCCAACAGAACCAGAGCCCACTGTTGCTATGCAAACCCAAGTGCATGTCCGACCCGTAGCTCACTCAAGGACCTACTCTCAGTGAGCTGCATAGGCCAACATTGCGTCAGCTGCTCCTGCACTGGCTGCTACTATCCAGCAGCTAGGACGACACGTCCCTTGTTCCTGTCCCATGTTCTCAGCCCTTTCTCTCTCTCCTGTCTCTGGGGAAGGAGTCTGCAGGGAAAACTCAGACCCAGGCCTGCACCTACCTTACCCAAGGCTTCTCTGAAGAGCTGGACAAATTCTTCCATCACCTCAGCTGTGTACACGCCTGAGTCCTGCCAGGCCTCTTTATCCAGACAGTGGTCAACTGTTTTCAATGCTCTCTTCAAAATGACTGAAATCAGGGATAAGGCCGACTGTTTCACAGGTATGCTGTCCAACTGGGAAGAAAAAGAGAATGAAACCCATAAATGTCTCTAGGTGACACCTGGGTTTGGCAAAAGGCATAGGAGATGGCTAGACTCTACACTTAGAAGAGGTGATCTGGGGACCTTCCCCGTAGACATCTACTCTGACTGCGGCAGTCACCAGGAAAGCAATTCCTGAAGGTGCCTGTACTTCTCGGTAAGCATTCTCTGACAACCACTCGGCCAGGACAGATTGTCTTCAGTGCCAGCAGCTACCTGGCATCCACAAGAAGCACTCACATGAAGGAGACAGAAAGAAAACATGTGAGACTGCTCATGATGAAGCCCACCTTTGTGATAACTAAGCATCTGTGATGGCTTGGATAATATCTGTCCCCCAGAGGTTCTGCTGAGAGGTGTCATAACCTTTAGGAGGTAGGCTTCAGTTATGAATTAACCCAGCTCTCATGACAGAGTTGATTCCTAAAAGAAGGTGTTGTTATGACAAGAACAAAACTGAGCCAGGGCAAAGGTGCACGCTAACTGGGAACCACCATGTTAATGGCACATGCTAACGAAGACTGAGGGGAACCACCATGCTAATGGTGCACGCTAACGGAGACCGAGAAGAACCACCATGAGTTGAAGGTCATCCTGACCAACACAAAAACAAAGAAAACCAAGCCAGCCCCATTCCCGGTCTCCGGCTTCCTTTCTCACTATGTGTTCCCACCTCATTTCTGCAAGCACTCTTCTTTTTGTTCATCCACTGTTGTTTGTGACACAGTAAGTGGGACCTTACTAAAGCCTAAACACATGAGGTCACTCAATCTTGGACTTTGAGCCTCTAAAGTAGTACACAGTACACAATTTAAGGTGCTGGTAACACAAGATGGAGTAACAACAAAAGCAACCAACCCCCATACAGACTCTGACAGCCAGTGTTCTCTTGCAGTTAGAGGACAACCAAGAAGGGTGTCAAGGTTCTCAATGACCTCAGAGACTGAGTAGTGCTCAAGGACCCATAATGGTAACATCAAAAAGGAATGGGCCCGGGCTGGAGAGATATGGCTCAGAGGTTAAGAGCACCGACTGCTCTTCCAAGGGTCCTGAGTTCAATTCCCAGCAACCACATGGTGGCTCACAACCATCCCTGGTGCCCTCTTCTGGTGTGCAGATATACATGGAAGCAGAATGTTGTATACATAATAAATAAGTTTTTTTTTTTAAATTAAATAAAAAAAAAAAAAAAAAAGGAATTGTCCCAGGCCCTGACAGGGGGCAGTGTGCTGCTGGTCTCCTGGCACATAGGAGTAGAGTTCCTGGCCCTCCACCAAGTCTAGCAGAATGTGCACCTTCCCAGGACCCCAGGTGGTCCCATCCATGTTAGGGTGCTTGGAGCTGTGGCTGGAAGAGTAGAGATTTACAATAGAACACAAAAGGCCTTCTGACTTATTAACCATGATGGCCTAGTACCTTCCAGTAGTTCAGTTTTAAGCAAATGCTGTACACTTAGGGTCAGACACATGTTTTACACCCAGCAATGGCTCCATAGCTGGGACCCCTTCAAAGGCAGGCCTTAAAAAAGGGTTCCCAAATGTCCATAGTGCAGGGAACAGAGAACTAACCCAGGACTTGGAATCCTGCTGCCAAACCCTTCTCATTTCCCATTTCTACAAACAAACACTCCTCATTCTGACTTTATCAGAGGAAAGCACAGCAAGCAAAACACAAACAACAACTAACTGCAGCCCTTAGAAGCCTTTCGCAACAATGCACTCACAACATGGACAAAGCCTCAGCGTTTGGGAAGGGCATGTGGGCACAGTCAACAAGGCTGTGCTCAATGGTCCTGAGCCTGCACAGAATGACTGCCACCAGGAGAGATGACTGTGCTCTCAGTCACTCCTAAGCCACTCAGGCCAGGAGACAGGACACCTCTCCAGAGATACAACCCCTGATGCTGGGAGGAAAAGGCTGCTTTTCATCTGGCGGCAGGATCATGGCTGGGGAGAGGTGCAAAGGAGGCCTCCAAGGAGGTGCATCCACTGAGCTCTTTCCCATTTTCATGATGCCCCTTGGGAAATGTTAATCTCTCCACAAAACAGACGGGACCTAATTTGCAGATGATTTGTCAAAGAGAACAGAGGCCTTTCTGCCCAGTCCCACACAGGCTGTCTCGCCTCACACACTGTACACACTCAGCACGAACCCTGGATGTGGCATCCAAGGATTCACCGCAGTCTCAGGAGTTGACACAACTTTCTCAAGTGACTTTACAGTCACTGCCCCATCAACCTGAGGCCAACACACACCTATGCAGAGCACCACGGCTGACCCCATTCCTCCTCGTGTCAATAACCACCTGGAGACGGCTCTGAGTGCCAACACTGCCAGTGGACACCAGGCTGCCAGAGTCCAGTACCAGGTGTCAAACGAGGACAATGTGGTAAAAACATAGGAGCCCTCAGAATACTGCTTCTGATGGGAAATGGGGAACCTACACCAGACATAAGTAAAAATGTGAATTTTGGAAGTTTATTTTACTTATGTGCACGTGTGTCTGTCTGTAAGTATGGGCACATGAATGCAGGTACTTGCAGAGGCCAGAAGGAGTCAGGTGCCCTGGAGCTGTAGTTACAGGCAGATGTAAGCTGCCCAACGTGGGTGCTGGCAACCAAACTTCCTCTGGAAGAAAAGCAATTGCTCTTAGCCACTAAGTAATGATGTGAAATTTAAGTATCATTTGTTCCCCAGAAATCTTAACACCTGGTCCAAAAGGTCCTTGAAATAAATAAGAGATTGGCTGAAAGTTTTGGCCCCACTGTTTCCAGATATTCTGAAATAGTGAAGTTCTCCTGCAGAAACTTCCCTTCCTCTAACATTTTCCCACACCCACACAGGACTACACAAATGTGGAGGGATGGGGTCCCCAAGTATGCTGAAGCAGAGATGAGGACACCATGCTAGTCAACTCTGGAAGGAATGCTAACCCCACACAACAGAGGTCTCTGCAAGAGAGCACTGGTTGATTGTGTATGTGTTTGTGTATATGTGAGAGAGAGAGAGAGAGAGGGAGGGGGAGAGAGAGAGAGAGAGAGAAGAGAGAGAGAGAGAGAGAGACTTACCTTTGTTTTTACATTTTAAATTTTTTATTGTTTTATGTGTGTTTTGCCTGCATGTATGTCTATCTGTGCACCACATGTGTGAAGTGCCAGCTGAGCCCAGAAGGCATCAGATCCCCTAAAACTGGAGTCACAGATGGTCGTGAGTCAACCTGTGTTGGGACCAAACTTAAGAGCAGCCAGTGCTCTTAATCACTGACCCATCTCTCTATCCCTGTGACTTACATTTAATGCCTGAGTGAACATGATCTTGTTGCACACCAGAGGCACTGTGGTCACCATCACCATTGCCAGGAGCCTGGGCAAGGGGATAAACTCTCTGGTCCAAAAGGCTCGGGAAATCTCTGGCTGGGCCTCATAGATCTAAGAAAGGGAAGAAAGAGACTGGGTTATTGATGGAAGTGTAACTGTTAAGTACCCCCAAACCCACTCATTCATCACTACACAAACCACTAGAGCTAACAAGGCTTCCTGTGCCAGTCCCTGCACTTGACAGGAGCCTGACAAACCACACCATCCTTTTAGAGAAAGGGTTCCTCTGTATGTCATCCTGGCTGTCCTGGAACTCACTCTGTAAACCAGGCTGGCTTTGAACTCACAGAGATCTAACTGCTTCTGGCCCCAAGTCCTGGGATTAAAGGTGTGCACCACCACTGCCCAGATACCCACACTGTCCTTTTAAAGTTCCATGAAAACCCTTCAGACAGAGATACTTAACATACAAATGTGTTCATGGTGTCAAAACTGGACCTCAGGGGGATTACCAGCCACATACAAGGTAAACAAGCCACATCATAAGGACTCAAGCCAGCCTAGCTTGTGACTCCCAAGGATCAGAAATGAGCTCAACTGAGTCAAAAGGGAGAATTCCAAATCCAGCTCCATGAAAAGCCAATGCTACCAGAGGACAAGGCCCCCAAGCCCATGGTCTCAAGTAACCCTTACCCCTGAGGCAGGGCTGCACTGCACACCCCAGAAGACCAGCATGCGCCTGCCCTGCCCGGCTAACAGCCTGCTGTGCTCTGTACCTTATTCAGCAGCTTCACATTGTTCAGCCACGTGGACTTCACTCTTGGGAGAAAGGAGAATGTGACTTCCTTGAAGTATTTGGTCAGCAGGTCTGGGCACACCCTCAGAATGTTCACTACCAGAGTGGCCACCAGCTCATCCCCAGCTGCAGTTTTCAAACTCAACAAGAAGTGCAGAAGCGTCAGGTTGCCTCCCCTGTTAGGAACAGGGAAAAGATAAGAGAGGTGAGCTGGACAAGTTCAAATACAATGAGCACTGAAGTCCTCTCAGGGACACAGCAGTCACATGACAGCGAGTACATTTTCTCCAGGGCACCCAATGGGGTATGCCTTGGCCTACAGGGGCCAATAAAGGGCTTTGGAGCAGCAGGGGAGGAATCCCATGGGGAAAAAGCATGGTGTCCCCAAATAAGCAAAGTGTCTTCAAGCATGAGATGAAGATGAGAGTAAGGCCGGGCATGACAACACACTCCTGAAACACCATTGCTCAAGAGGCCGAAGTGGGAAGATCATTTTAAGTGTGAAAGCTCTGGACCAGCCTGGCCAACAAACAAAGGCAAGCAGAAAAAGGTCTGATGACATTAAGCCTCATACAGGAAGCACCAATCCTAGGATCTCTATAGCCGAAGCTCCAGGGCTCCAGGCTTTACCTGCCCAAAGCTGTAAGAAAAAACTATTTTTCACATCTGCTTGAGCCTGAGTAGTTTGAGCATCCAGATGGACCCTGGCTTTGTCATCTGCGTATTAATCCAGCGGCTCAACAGGGTTGCCATATTAAGGCCTACCACCTATCTTTAAAGTCTTCCTTAACAGCTACTGCATTTGTCTTCACCTATGGACACTTCCGTGTCACACGGCAGTGCTGGGTAGTCAGAGACTGGCCTGCCAAGCTTTGTACGCTATCCGAACCTCACAGAAAAAGATGGCACCCCTGTTCCACGCTGACACTTTGTCTGCTGACCGCTCAGTGGATAGCAGCCACCATCCTAGCAATGACCAGCCTCTGCTCTGACCATTTCTCACCAATCAGACTATCAACAGAGGAATAACTGTACATGGTGGTGAAATGCCACAGAAGCCTTGGCCAGGCAAGATGACAGTGACAAGAGAGGTTATGTGAGCAAGGGATACCAGGGTAAGCTTCCCTGAAGTTGTGACATTTGTGTGGGGACCAGAAGAAATGACGGGATGAGTCCCATGACTGCTGGGGTACTTTGCTTTCAATTCTTCAGTTCTTTCCATTTCCAACCTGCAGAGTGTTTGTTGCCCAACCTCTAAATAAAAACTAATTATTTGCCAATAGTTTCAAAAATCCCACATTAACTATGGCTTTTTGCAGGGGAACAGTAATAGAGGGGAAATGCTTAGGGGTGTATAAGGGGTTTCTAACAGTTGTAACATTGTACTGGATTCTAAAATCCTTTAAGGTGCATTTTAACAGGAAAATTAGTTCATTTTGATGAGAAAAATAGCTACTATTAAGTTTCTTGGGTTTTTTTTGTTTGTTTGTTTGTTTTCAAGACAGGGTTTCTCTGTGTAGCTTTGGAGCCTATCCTGGCACTCGCTCTGGAGACCAGGCTGGCCTCGAACTCACAGAGATCAGCCTGCCTCTGCCTCCCGAGTGCTGGGATTAAAGGCGTGCACCACCAACTATTAAGTTTTTTAAAATTTAGGACTAGGGATACAACTCAGGGGTAGAGCACTTGGTCAGAGTGCTTAATGCCCTAGGTTTGATTCCCAGCATTCCAAAGAAAATAAAAACATAAAACATTAAAAAGTAAAGGAAATGTAGTAAATTAAATCAAAATAATCTCAAAACAAATACACATGCAGAAGATCTTCCCACCATGCTACCATGTTGAAGGAATTAATTAAAATTAATTAAGTCTCTACAGTCACTCCACGTTACAAGGAACTGAATTCTTTTGTGTTTGTTTGTTTGAGGCTCTTTCTGTCCTGGAATTCACTATGACTGGGTTTGAACTCACCGAGATCCAACTGCCCATGCCTCCCAAATGCTAGGATTAAAGGAGCATGCTACCACACCCAGCCTGAATTCATAACAGAGACGCTATGCAGCCAAGAGGAGGAAATAAATCACTAAGGACTAGGAAACACACTCATTTTTCACTTATGCATAAAGGTGAAGCAGACTGATAGCTTGCCTTGTTACAGAAAAAAAGCAAAGGCATATAGTTATCTGACTATAAAAACACATTCAAAAGAATCAATACCATTAGATTTGGACTTCCTACCTTACTGATAAACTCTTGTAACTGAATGAGGAAAAACACAAAAAAATGTCATTTTGATATCCTACTGGGATAAAACTGGGAGCATGTTGGAGGAGCTATTACATGGATCAGCTCTGGAATGCAATTTCTTGCACCCAGGGCAAGCTCTGCTGCTCACAGGGCAAGTGCCTTGCCCTCTCTTCTGTGGCCTCCTTCCTCGTCTGCAGAAGTGGGTAAGAGAGCTCAGGGCTAATGTAAAGCCTGTGGCAGCAGACTTCCTTCTCCTCCTTGGGAAAGCCTGATCTAGAGACTCTCAGATCAGAGGACACTACTGTCTTTAAGTACACCCACGCAGGCGTGTACACTACCTTCTCCTGTGTAAATGCTCCCTTTTCGGAGTGCCTAAATTGATACTGTGAGCCCTCTGTCCCCAGGGGCTGATGAAGAAACTCTCTAGGTCTCCGAGAGTCACCCCTAAAATAAGTTTAATCACGTACACAATTATACACGATTCTAACTCTAAGCTCCAGAGCCATCCCTTAGCTGCTTTCCACTACAGCCAGGCATGCCACCCTTTAAGGAACACACACAGGTTCACACAGCAATGCATTTTACCTGCCAGAAGTTCCCAATGAGGCGTCATAAAAACAAATCCCATGTTTGCGAGAACAACAGAGATCTATCAGGAAGTTATGAACGAGGTCCCTCACCATGGCTTTCCCCGCCTCTTCAGCAGACACCTAGAAGGTTCAACAAACTATCAATTCCAAAGTTCTAGCTACATAATAAAAACAGAGCAGTGTCACCAAATGATGACAACTGAGAGAATACTTTATATCAAATGCTTGAGGTCAGTTTAAAAAGCAAACAAGTAATGCAGGAAACATACACTGATCACCATGAAACAATACTCTGAAGAGGGCTGAGTTTACCCCAGCACTCAGGAGGCAGAGGCAGGCGGATCTCTGTGAGTTCGAGGCTAGCCTGGTCTCCAGAGCGAGTTCCAGGACAGCCTCCAAAACAATACAGAGAAAGCCTGTCTCGAGAAAAAAAAAAAAAAAAAAGGGGGGGGGGCTAAATTTAACTGTATTTTTAAAGTCACTAATGACTTATTTGTCTTGTGCTTTTGAATAAAATCCCACATTTTTGAGTGCTTTTATCAGCCTGTGGGACTTCCTGGTGAGGAACATGCAAAAACACGTTCAGAAGAGGATGACATGGGCAAGTTACCAAGATAAAAGGAAGCAACAGTAACCTCTCAAGATGCAAATGACTGTTCAGTTAACAGGGAAACTGAGCCCTTACAAGGCTAGCCAAGTCCACAAAAGTAACCACAGAAAACAAGATGAATGCTAGGCTTAGGCCAGTGTGAAGGTGACTTTTAATTGTCAATCAATTAACAATCACAACATAAACTATCTCTTTCAATAAACAAAATGTGAGGCCTTCTAGACAGACTTCTGAAATAAGAAAGTTATACTACAAAAGCTGGATATTTTACAAAGGAAAAGGAGAAGAGCCAAGCAAGAGCAAGAAGATATAGTCTGGAGAAGTTCTATAAACCTACCAGGCAGGCACTGCAGGGGCAGCCAGGATGTCACTCAGCATGAAGTAACTGTTTTCTCATTAAAAACAAAAGGAGGTTTACTCCCACTGCTCTAAGACTAGAATAAAAACCTTACAGAAATTGTATCATATCTTGCAAAAAATTAATTTACCTATCTAACCATAAGTCAAAGGAAACAGATCATATGGGATTTCTTTACAAGTCTGGGGTATGTTGGGATGCTTTCTTTTTCCTGCCTGAGAGGGTCCCAAAGACAAAGCTGAGTGAACCCAGAGACTCACCTCGGTGCTCTCTGGGTTTTCTGGAGCAACATCTGTGATCCCATTCCAGTTGTAGAGAGAAGCTATGTGGTTCAGAAGCTGCCCCGTAAAGAAACGCACCTTCTGGGTTTTTGTGATGTTTTTATTGTAAATTACCTGGATACAGTAACAAGAGAAAAAGAAAGCCAGTAAGTTTTATAATACTGCTCACTGATTTCTACTATTACAAACATATGCATGCTAAGGGGAGATAAATTACCAAAGAAAAGGAAAATCAGAAAGAGAAACATAATTTGCCAACATTCTCAAATATCTTAAGACTATCCACTCACCACTCTGGTGTGTTTCCTTTTAGCCCCACCCACCTACACCCACAAAGCACACATGTGCACTAACTGGTTTTCTTTTTTACCTGAGGTTATATTTATTTATGGATTGGATGTTTCCTTTATTTGTGTAGTTTAGCTCTTCTCACGCCATTCAAACTTTCATCAGAGCATCATTCTGGAGGGCTTTACCATTCTGTGCTCTGACTGGATCATAAGTGATGTCATGTTCCTGTGGTGTTTGTATTGGTGGTCCCACACTCTGGCTATTCCCCACAAAGACGATCAGCATGCTGCTGAACAGTTCCGACACACCTCTGTCTAGGAGTAGGCACTGGTTCTTATAAACAGGACCCAGATCAGGATCTCAGCACCACCCAGAGTCACCCCTACATCCCTGTCACTGTAGTCCAGGGACATGTATTCCAAATGTATCCTTGGGTGGTTCTAATGCAAAGATCACCCAACCGTGAGTTCAAGTTAAGGGGCTCTTAACCGCCACTCTGGGAGCTGTACTGTAGGATGTGTTGCAACATCACTAGTCTGATTCACAAAGGACCAGTGGAACTGTCCCACTGTGACATTCAAAGCTATCTCCAGACACTTGCAAATGTTCTCCCCTGGGGAGAAGAAGTCACACATCTTTGACTGAGAATCACTACAGTAAATACTACCTAATGTGTTATGCATGCTATTAGCCTGTTTTAAAGCACTGGCTTCCGACTTGGCATTTTGGAGGATCAGTTTCTTCACTGATCATTCAAAGTTATCTCTATATAAAAGCCACAATCCCTTCACCAAGTTTTAAAATGTTTCTTAAGATACCTGAAAAGGGCAGAATATGCAACATGACTCAAATGAACACTTGGGCAGATGTATAAAGTAAGTATCATTTACATTACAGTCCAAGATATTGCAGTTGAGTTACCATGAACTGCAGACTGGCAGCTTTTTCTCTTAGGGTAACACAAGAGGCCAGGCTGCTTAAGCTCCAGCTCTTCTTTAACCCTCTAGCTCCAGAGCTAACTCCCCACCAAGGCCAAGTATAAGCCTAAGAAGCTGTTGTCCAAACCACCTCACAGGGAGCTCAAACCTAAAACACATGGGGACAGGAGGGGATGGGAGAGGGGGAGATGGAGAGGGTGGGAGGGTGGTGGAGGCTGGGAGTGGGGGAGGCCTTTAGGCATCCTCAAAGAAACAGACACATACCTTTGTTTTCAGTGTAGACAACAACATGTTGATGGTAGAAACCTTATCCTCCTTTATGCCTGAGCTAAATATGCAGGGGATAAATTCTGAAAATAAAAGTTGTGAAGAATTAAACTCTGAGGTACTTTGAAATGAGGAACAAACGATACCACACCAGGTTCAAATTCTGTACCCATTACACAAGTTTTCAACAGTAAACCTGCTCCATGGCCCAGGGAATCATGGACATCTCAAGGTAAGCTTGCAGAATGCTTGGTACTGGCCCAGCCCATGCTTTCTTCCATGAAATGCAACTTGGTGCTCATCAGGAGAGGATCCAGAGAACGACAACAGCCCTTGAGAACCTCTCTTCCACTTAGACAAGCTCAGAGATGATTGAGATGGCCGTCATTTTTGAGATTGACACGCCCTTTGCCTCTACCAAAAAGACAACTCAGACCTAGATGTGACATGGGCAGAAGTGTCAAAGCAATTGCAGTTTCACCTGCTCTACACAAGCCGAAAGCCACACACCATTTCTAAAAAAAAAAAAAGCACATCCCTTTTTTTTTTTTTTTGAAAGTCAAACCAAAAGAGTAAGTTTCAAGTCAACCATGACCCTCTAATTCAACCTCAACACTGTGACATCTGAGTCGACTATTGGTTTCTGCTGGGTCCATACACTGTCCAATGTTCATGCTACTCTACACTCAAGCACCTGTCACTCAAACACTGACATTACTGTGTATTTTCCACCTGACAACTAGTACTCAATTTACTCACCTCCTCCCTTGCAAATGGATATTCAGGAGTCTAACTGTCAATCAGTAATAAGACTCTCCCCTAACCAATCCTCTACTCACATCCTTAATTATTTCCTTGGACAACTGACTAAACATGCAATTTCTGGACCAAACATCTTTAAAGTACTGATGTACAAGGTCCAACTGCCCTGCATAACCTGTCCTATTGGCAGTGTAAACGAGCACTCACCCATCCTTTAGAGAGAGGCCCAGTGGATGAGATGACTACATCGGACCATAACATCCTCAGCCTAACCCTGAGCTAGTTCCTGGAAAGAGCAGGGGGAAAACAGTCTGAGGCTCTACAGTAGCTATTTCTCACTGTCAACTTGACTAGATTAGAACTGCCATGGAAACAAACCTCTGGACATGTCTAGGAAGGTGCTTCCACAAGTTTAATTGAAGAGGAAAGACCGCCCTGTTTGTGAACAACACTATGCCCATGGCCAGGCTCCCTGACTAAATAGAAAGGAGAAAGTAAGCTGAACACCAGCATTCTTCTCTTTCTGCTTCCTGCCCATGGATTCAATGTCACCAGCTGCCCCATACTCCTGCCACCATGCCTTCCCTGCCATGAAAGACTGCTCCCTAAAAACACAAGCCAAAACACCCTCCATCCTTAAGTTGCCTCTGACAGGCACTGTCACAGCAACAAGAAAAGCCACCAATGTAGACCCTTAGCAAATTCAGTACGTCTCCTCCCGTAATGCTGTCACCATAGCAACAGAGCCACCACACAGCCCAGGCCGACCACATACAGTCTCCACCTCCACTTTCACCCTCACCTGCTGAGAGAAGCTCAGGTTCCCTGTCCTGGGGGAGGCAGGACTGGTCACGAAACATTTAGGCTACAGCATTTGGGGACTCCTCCAAGGACTCAGCCCAGTGTTCTGCCAGGACATAAGGGTGTGACTCTGAACTCTGAGCAAATGCCATGGGACAGTCATTCACCATCTTTCTGAAATACACGAGCACAAGCTGCTCTTCCAGAGGACGCAGGTTTGATTCCCAGCACCCACATTAGCAGATGAAAACTGTTGATAACTCCAGACCCAGGAGGTCTGATGTCTCCTTCCTTCCTCGGCAGGCAGCACAGGCATGTGGTGTACAGGCCCACACACAGGGACAACACCCACACACATGGTTCTGTGCATCTCTTCCTCATCTGCCTCAGGCAGTGCTCAGCACTCCAGACAGCCTCAAAGGATACCAGCCAGGCTATCAACACACACCTGCTCAAAGCCTCGCCCCAAACACGTCCCCCGAGCACTGCAGCGCTCACCGCAGCTACTGAAGCTGCAGACTCTTGGAAGAAACCACTTGCAGTAGATTTCTCCAAACTTCACTTTCCCAAGGGACAAAGCAGAGCTCCCACCTTTTAGTTCCAGGACTTGACCTATAGTGTTGTCATCGCCCGCAATTAGGAAGGAGAGGGCAAACTGGATGTAGGCCAACCGGACGTCATGCACGCCCTGGAGGACAAAGGAGACTCACATGTCACTTGCAGCCATTAGAGACATGAACACAGAAGACATACATACCTCCCCGCTTAGTGTCACCAGTGTCCTGAGCTTGTCTCCAGGGATTCTTCTTTGCACCCCCCTGCTTTTCTCCTTTTCTAATCCTATTCTCTATACAAAAGTATGGCTGAAAACAGTTGGGCCCCTTCCCTGACTTAGGACATCCATTTCTTTAGTTCACTCTAGGACAGGGCCAAAGATCCTTACTTCTGCTGGGATCCATTCCCTCTTGCTTGCTAATGAAAACAATCTATTATGTTTAGAAAAGCCAGAGATAATGGAGACACGGTGCTGCTTTTGATGAGAAGCCAATGTGGTAATATCTGGTTTTTATTAAGTATTGTAAATAAATTATTAAATCACACTAAAAACCAAAGCACAGATGCTTCATGTTATAAACCCATGGAGAGCCCAGGATACAGCCTGCAGGCATCAGCATGTCCCAGGGAGGCGGGACACAAAGACCATGACAGTGAGGACAGAGCAGTTGTCTAAGGCTCCCAGGAAGTCAGCGACCAGACTGAGGGCAACCCTGACGTGTAGCAGACACGAGTTATATCCTGCTATATCCTTGTGGGTCCTAAAGTTTGCAGGCTTTCCTGAGAGTGTGGCAGGCAGGACCTGCATTTTTTTTCTCTCTTGTTCTGTTGTTTACTTGTACAATGTGATCAGCTTTGCCTCCCAGTGTTGTTAAGACACAGTCACATCTCAACACAAGGAAGAGAAGGCACAGGTCTCCACAGCTGTTCCCTCATTGGAATGTGTACTTAGAGCCTCCAACACTTAAATTGAAACCTTTTCCAATTCCCAATTATTCCAAAATGCCTTAATGCACTGCCAAGAAATATTATGATAGAAAATACGGTTTCAAGTGCCTGGTAAGACAAAAGTCTTGCCCCTGCCACAGCAACAGAAGAGGTAGTGGAAGTGAGGACAATGACAATGTTTACTGAGTTCCTGCTCCACGCATGCCAGGCCTAGAGTCAACACTGAATCGCTGTCATCTCGTTCAGCTCTCATCATCAGCCAAGGGAGAGCATTCACACTTTGCAAGAGAAGCCCAGTGGCAACAGCAGCAGAAGCAGCATCCAATGAAGTACTACTACTGAAAGTCAGGGCTCTGGAATCCCTAGTCCCTGTTTGTTGCCACTCTAGATTTTTCTAGACTATGGGTACATAGTGGAGTTGGACTAGATCTTCCTGTGGGTTCCTCCAACCAAGAATTTCTAAGGGAAAGGAATCTGGTTCCCACCTGTTGGTTCCCATCTACATCCCAACCAATCTCAAATCTCAGGTTCCTACACTGTAGAGAAACTAGCCTGACAAGTCTCAGAGACAAGGGCACCCACCTCCCTAGGCTGACCACAGCAGCCTCCATGCCCTTCAAAGGCCACCCACTCCCACTGACAGGTGGCCTGTGCCTTTTCCTCATCCCACTCTATGACCTCACAGGGCTGTCACCCCAGAAAGGAAGCATCCTCAACTTCTATGAGCTTGTTCTGAAAAACACTTTCTAAGCGAGACTAAAATATGGCAAAACTATTCTCTGGCGCAGGGTTTAACAAGCTTTCATTGGCTGGATGAACAGAGCCATGATCTGCTTTCTTCAGGGACACCGAAATACAGCTTACAAACCAGAAAAGACTCTCCATCTCCAGCTATATGGCATGAAATAAAGAAGGGGCAAGTCGAGCGTTTAAGATATTTAAAGACATCCAACAAACAAATACAACAAACAAATGGATCTTGTTTGGATCCAGTTGGAACCAACAAGTATAAAAATGGTTTTTGAGACAGGAAGATACAAAGACCAAACTGTGTGTTCATGGTAAGAAATTATTAATGGTGATAGTGCCATAATGGCATTGTGGTTTTGTTTTTTAAAAAGACACTCTTCTGCTAAGAGTACATGCTGAAATATTTATACAGAAATAGGATTTACGTCTGGGATTTGCTATAAAAGTCAACTGAAAAGGTGGGGTATTAAGTGGGTGAAGGCGGCTGACACTAGCTAAAACCAGAACTCAAGAGTTCCTGGTGCCGTCCTATTTTTAATGCCTCTGATGTATGTGAAAAACCTTAATGTCTGGACATCCCTGACCACATCTACAGAGCACCTAAGGTAGCACAAGCACTTTCAAGGTGACAGAGGTAAAACAGCCTACCTGGAGCCTGGGGTGAGCCAGCTTCTATAGCTAGGGTCTGGGAGGGGCAGCCCTAGCTGGGCTTTTCCATATGGTCCAGCTGTCTGGGTGGCCTGGCACATCACTGATAACTACATCAGGGGGTAGGGAGGATAGATTATCTGATAAACAATCAGAGCTAGGCTCACTGCCAGACAAGACCAAAGAACTTGGACATTGGCCTTATTATGCAAAGAGCAAACACTCTTTTCATTATAAATGCATTCATGTCCAAAGCCCTTACCCACTGGTGGGAATTTGTTGACATTTTAATAAAGCATAGTATCTAAGAGACACTAAGACCTGGACTTTCTTTCCTCAGATACTGCCTTACTTGTAATTCTGTTAAACCCTCAATACCAGGCATAAGAGTCATAAAAGTTACATGGCATTATTAGTAACCCTTTGGTCTACTTCCTAGCAAGTAAGAAATTTAATCCCTGGGCATACTGAGACAACTAGCTAGCACACTGTCACACAGGAGATGGAGAGCAACACAGTTCTCCACCTCAACAAGTGGGGTGGTATGTGTTCACTGTGCTCAGGAAGAGGGGAGCACATGGGCCTTGGCTGTGCACATCACTGAGCACCATTAGGCACTACCAAGACCTGCAGCTGCTCCTTTTCTGGGAACTTGTACGTCTCAGTTGTGTTTTCTTCCTCAGAGCCCTACCAAACCCAAGTGTCACCTCTAGAGCTACCAGTGAACCCTGCAGTGCTTCTGAAAACAGAGTACTCCTGCCCCATTCACACTGGCATGTCCACTCTCTACCTTTCGGGCGGAGTTCCAAAGGGTTTCTCTAGAGTGGACAGAACTGCAAGAGGCTGTATAAACTCACAGCTAGGGCAGAGCAAGGCTCTTATAGTCACTCAGAAGAAAAGGTGCTTACCCATTATCCTCCCAGCCCAGAGTCCTAAGTCACTAAGCCAACCTCATTCCCTCAAGGAGGCCCAGATCTTCCCAGATGTCCCAACTGTTCAGGCTCTGTTGAGGCACTGGCCCCATCAAAGCCAGGTGGGGGTAGGGAAAGGCTACTGCCATACTCAAAGGCACAGTCTTTGGAAGTATGGGAGCCAAGGGAGGGGAGGAGGAAAAATGGCCACCAAAGTCTCCCCAAGGGAAGGGAATTATGGACAAGCATGAAACGGGGGGTTCTCACCTTTGAATCTCTCTTGGTCACCAGGGTATACAAGGCTTTTTTATTCAAATCAAAACAGCTGCACATATCCCTGGCGGCTTCAGGACCCTGGGTCACCATGGCAGTCATCAGGTCCAGGCAGGCTCGAGCCAACCTGCACAGGGCCAGGAAACCAAGTGTGAGAGACAGAGACAGCACTATCAGGAAGCCCAGCTTAGGGTCAGCTACCCAAAACCAGGAAAAAGAAGGGAGTACAAATGCTCTTTTCTTCCATATTTTTTAAACACAACAAAAACTTTAAAAGGAACTAAAAAGCCAAGGAAAGATCCTAATACAAAGATGAGAAAATTATTATTATTATTATTATTATTATTATTATTATTATTATTTGAGACAGAGTTTCACTATGTATGTAGCTATGGCTGAAGGGGAACTCACTATGTAGAGACTAAGTTGGTCTTGAACTCACAGAGATCTGCTTGCCTCTGCCTCTTGAGTGCTGGGATTAAGGTGTAAGGTGCTAAAAATGAAAACTTTTTATCTCTCAATGTGGTTACTTGAGCAGCCACTTCTGTCACTGCGTTTTGGGGACACAAGGGAACACTTCAAAGAGGTATCTCTTAAATTGTCCTCTTGGCAGCCTTCTGCTCTGAGCTTGCCAGAATTGGTGGCTCCAAGCATGGTGATGCTCTAGACACTGGAAAAGTAAGATGCTATGATCTGCTGCATACATACTTAGGGGAAGAAGACAGCAGATGTAGCCCACTGTGTCAACTGCACAAGCATGTATTTGTCCACATGCAGAAAACTCCAGTGGGACATGGAGACAGAGAAGGCCAATGGGACGGCTACTGACTTAAGGTGGTCAGTGAAGCCTCTTCTCTGCAAAGTGCTGGGGAAGACACAGCCTATGACTACCTCACAGAGGAGCCATCTAGGCAGGATAGGCTATGTAAGGAATGTCTGAGTCCAGGACAGTGAAGAAAGCTACAAGAAGGCTAGAGACACTTGGTGCAAGAAGTCAGCAACAGTCCCTGCTGGTCCCAAAGTCTCCGCACTAGCCATCACAAAGGCAGGTAACTCACCTGTAACCAGATGCATACAGGGATTCGCACAGGAGCTTCATGTGGTTGTTCAGTAGCTTCTTTACAACATTGCTACCCACCACGTGGAAATGCGCAAGATCACTGGCTGTCCTCAATAATATGGCCTCAAAAACTTGAAATATTAACAGCATCTGCAAAGGCATAATTGAACACTACTCATCATTTCATTCTTGTCTTATGAAGTTACAAGTTAGGCCTCCCCAAGATCATGAGCCAAATAACAGGGTAGTTGGAGAGAGTTTAACAGCCTCACCTGCCAAGATCCAGGCTCTGAACTAGAAACAGTCAACAGGTTGCTTACAGTTTCACTAGATGAAAGCGAAGGACAAAACTCTATTGCCGGGATCCAGCTTGTATCAGTCCCATGCTACAGAGTCTATCTATTCCAGAATGATGTCTTTGGGACTGTGATCAGAGCCAGCCAAATGGCCCCAGGTCCATCCCTGAGTCGGGAAATGCTGGACCAGGAAACTCCTAGTTACCCAACAGTGATAAAGACAAGACACAAACATCTTGTCATTTCAGAAGGGCTCACAGTCCATTCTGGAGTCTAGAGTCTCCCGTTTATTCATGCATCCTGTTAAATAGCTTTCCAACAGTGGAGGTGACCTCAGAAGACATCGACTATCATGTATAAAGCCAATATCAAAAAATTCTTTCAACCCTAGCAGCACACCTAAACAGTCCCTAGGCACATAAACAAACCCCTCAGAACAAGTGTGGGTGCACCCAGGACCTACGTCTGTTATTATACAAACTAGGAAACATTGTCCACTGAGGCCAAGCCAGTATCTGAAAGACAATGGGAGATTCAGATTCCTGGAAATTGAGCGAAGGTTTGGACCCCCAAACTTTATAATAGATCATTTTTGGGCCCCAACACTCTGTTGAGACTGAAACGCACTGGTCTGAGGACACTCAATTCTACAGCCTGACAACATGAAGTCCTGCCATCAACAAGATCAGAAACAGTTCCAATTTTCAACCTCTTAGAAACTAATCAACTCCACAAGTGTTCTGAGTCTGAAACAGGGCATCTTCTTATTGCTAAAGCAAACCAAGTACACTCTAAGAATCTACAACCCTAGGGCTGGAGAGATGGCTCAGCAGCTGAAAGCACTGGCTGCTCCTGTAGAAGACCCGAGTTTAGTTCCCAGCACCCACAGAACAGCTTACAATTGTCTAGTTACTGCATCTAGTTCCAAGAGATCAAACACCCTCTTCTAGCCTCTGTGGCACTAAGCATGCATGGGGTACACACACACACACACTCACACACAGGCAAAACACTCATATGCATAAAATAAAATTTTTTAAAACTGTAACCTTGACTTATGATGTTATTTATAAACTATTAAAGAGGGCTGGGCATTGGTGGCGCACGCCTTTAGTCCCAGCACTCGGGAGGCAGAGGCAGGCGGATCTCTGTGAGTTCGAGGCCAGCCTGGTCTCCAGAGTGAGTGCCAGGATAGGCTCCAAAGCTACACAGAGAAACCCTGTCTCAAAAAACCAAAATAAATAAGTAAATAAATAAGCAAACTATTAAAGAGAAGCTGCTGTTTCCCATCCAAATGTTTTCAAAGGCCACAGAGGCAAAGCACTGGGATAAGAGATCACTTTGTGAAGGAAGCTGGTACTGCCCAAGACATGGATATCACACACTGCCAAGTCCAGTGCCACACAACACTGACTTCTCTTCGTCACACAAGTAAGAAACAACCTACTTCACTCTCAGGCCGCTTCTCTCCACTCAGGAGCTGGAAAATTTCTGCACACTCCATGGAAATCTTGATGTAGCCCTCGACGACATCACACGAGTCTTCCTGTGGTAGCTGCTTGGCAGCAGAGATGAAGGCCTCCAAAGCTGAAATAAGAGTTAGTTAACTGAGAACAATAGGAATCTCCTCCAGAACTATCACAGCCACTACCGTACCACACATCCCTTGTTCTGTGATGCTCACACCTCTAATGTACCCAAAGAGGAAGAAAGAGAACCCACTGAACTGAAGGTTCATGTTAGGGCTGTAACTCCTACAGGACTATCTGAGGATAGGGCTTCTAGGAGATAAAGATGGCTGAGGTCACCAGGCTGATGCCCCAGTACCATAGGATTGGCGTCCTAATGATAAGAAGGGACACCAGAGAGATCCTCTTTGAAAAGGTGATGTCATGTAAGGTCAGCAAGAGGCAACTGTGTGCAATCCAGGAAGAGCCTTCACACACAGGATATTAAGCTCTTTCTATCCTGAACTTCAAGAACATAAATGTTGCTTAGCATCTAGTGTTCAGTCCATGGAAAACACTCAAATGAGGGCAACATAGGAATGAAGTTGGTGGTTGCAATCCTGGCTCTAGTCCTACAAATTCCCACATTCACCTGATAACTCCAGCTTTGCTACATCTTTCAATTACTTCACTCAATCTATTCCGTCAACCTAACTGCCCCTTTGACACGTGCTCAGGTGGCATGAGGCTCTCTAGCTAGACACCGAAATACAGACATAAGCTTTTCAGGAACCTTCTGCCAGAGTCTCCTGTCCATATGACTTTCTACAACTCTTGAAAATCTACTTCCCTGGCGAAGCCTTCCTCAATCTCACAGATGAGGGTCCCGGGCCCATCGCACACAGCGCATGGCTGGCTCCTCTGCTAGACATGTGTGGCTTCACTGAGGGCGTGCTTTCCCAAACTGACTGTCAGATCCACAACCTCAAAGCCCGGGTCAGATTCTTACTCACCCATTTCATCTCTACCTAACAAATAACAGCTGCTATTAAGTGGCAAATAAAAGGGGGAAATGTTGGATTCTGTGCTAACGAAGGCATCCTCGTCCAGCAAACTATCAAGGGTGGGCACCAGAAATTTAAAAATAAAAACTGTAAGAAGAAAAATCAGTTGAGAATACTTTTTGAGGGGTGGCTTGAGATATGGCACAGAGAGAGAGAGAGAGAGAGAGAGAGAGAGAGAGAGAGAGAGAG